TTAAAGTTTGCATTAAAATATAACTTATAATATAAAATTTGAAAGGAAAAAAATGAAGAAAAATTTTAATTATTAGTTTCGTCTTAATAAATTTACCTTTTTTTCAATAATTAGCTAAAATGTTTTTCCCTCCAAACAAATGCCGTTACATTAGATGTACGTCATTTCCGTCTTTTTAGACAACGTTAATCAAAAAGTAAACCATTTTAAAATAAATATAAAATAATATTCCTGGCATTTTATTTTAATATAATGTAGATTCGTAGGAAATATATATTCTTTCTTCAAAAGAAAAATGCACTAACATGCAGCGAATACATTTATACGTTTTCTAGGAATGATTAATAATAATTTCAATTTTAACATTTAATATATTAAAAATTCTAATGTAACTACATAAATAATATTTATAGAAGATTCCCCAGAGAGATTTTATCTATTTTATTAATAATTAATAATATCCTTGAGCTGAGAAAGATCTCGTACAAAGCTCAACAGAGGAAAACTAAATAAAATACACACATACAAGTTTTTAGACCAAAAACATAAAAATAATTTAATATCTCACATCTTAAGTTTTGTAAATAAACAAGAAAAATATTCAAATTAGAAATAGAGAGTACAAAAAATAAAAGCTTGAATGATTTACATAAATTAATAACTATATTTCTAATTTATTTACAAGATTCTTTTCATTTTACCAGCATTCTATTTAGAAACACAACAAAATTCTAATTTACTATTCTTTATTTCTACTCGTTAATTATAGTCGGCTTGAGGTAAAATTTTTATTATCGAAGGCTGTTTTTTATTGTTAGTTTGTAATATTAGTAGTTTCATCGTAGCTAAGCTTTCAACTTAAGCGCAAGTCGATACCAAACTTCTTCTGATTAAACATGCGGTAGAAAAGAAGATAAGTTTATCTTACTGAACTATATACAGAAACTTTGAAAGATAGACAAACCTTCTTATACGTCTTGTCGAGTGAATTAATCTACATCATCGATTATTATTACAACTCGAAATCTTATCTTATACATTCTTAAGTTCACAATATTCTATAATAAATATTAATTATTAATTATAAATATTAAATTCTCTAACTACACTATACATATATGTCTTTCTGTTTGATAACAAAGCTAACGAGATATTAAACCTGGTCTAACGTTTTTGTTTTCTTTAAGTAATTAACACGAAAGTTAATTACACTCTCGTAATAAAAATGTGAAAAAAATATGTTGAAGAGAATTGTTTACCCGATAAATCGCAAATAAATGGTAGAACGTAGTAATTAGAGTAGTTGAGAAACATGTTTGAGAACAGAGAAAATACAGAGAAATAGTCGAGTTCGATTAACACAATACCCCCTACACAATTAACGAAGTATTCTGTAAAGAAATGAAATTCTTGCAAAGAACTGGCTTGCTGTATAGCTTAAGAATAATTTTATAGTTTCAGGGTGCATTAATTACTCGACAAACGATAAACTAATTTTTTGCTAAATAATTCTAAAGTATATTGTAATACTCATTGGAAGATGGAGGTGTTAATACGTAAATTATATAATTTATAGTAATTTAAAAAGCAAAAGTTATGCCGGATTTTCCGGAACGAATCTAACCACGCGCCTAAATGAATCTATAAAACTATTCTTCTTTCTCGAAAACGCAGTGTGTCATATGCATGCTCGTACAGATTTCGAAACGTGTACATTCATTAAAATTTTTAATTAAAACGCCCATCTCTCTCTTTTTCTTTCTCTTTCAACAGAAAAATCGAAAGGTAAAAAGAAAGAACGTATAACATTATTTGTTAACAATAATGCGTTCTAACAGATTTCCTTTACAAGAAAAAACCTTTATTGTGTGGTTCGCCAAAATAATATAACATGTGATTTTAATAGAAACCTTCGCTTACTACTTATTACATTTCTATCTCATTGCAGATTTCCTATTTCTAGTTTCTATGTTCACTTAAGCAAGAATCCTGTCGCGTTAAAATCTACTTTCCAGTTGTTTGAAATTTCAACAAGTTTCTGAACGTTGCAACCAGACGATTTACACCTTTGGTCGTTTTCAACGTTTCCTCCTTTGGTATCAATTGACGAGTATAAATAATCGATGCATTTTGCTTCGTTACTCTCTCAATTTCTCTCCACAATTCTCTTTCTACTCTTCCTTCGCTCCTTCAATTCTATTTCCTCGTTCGAGTATTCTCTTAACAAATTTATCTTTATGGTACTTGTCGACCATGAAATAAATTTTATGTAATAAAATTAAATTCTACTATGCAAAATATTATTTACTTAATAAAATCATAGAGAGATCAATTTGATTCCTATAACTTCAGAAGGAAATAGGCCAGTCTGTGTGTGGTAAAAAAAAAAAGATTGAAAGAGGAAGGAAGAAAGAGAAGAAGATTAATGTTAGCCAGGAGAGTATTTCATTCGGGCGGAGATTCGTCGATTCGACGATATTTTGTCGTACGATAGCTAGATAATTTAACGTTTGGAAGAAAATACTGTCGCCACAGGCTAGTCCTATACTCCCGAGGGGTGTAATCTGCGTTCGTGGACGTAAATAGGATGTTTTACGATCCCTTTCGATCCCCTTCTTCATCTTCGTCTTTCACACGATGCCTTCAACGATGACGTAGACTGGAGAAGATCAGTGAACTACTCTTACTACCATCATCATCATCAATTCTCGTTTACGTTTTAGCTTATATGTCCTTTCCACAAAGCATGATTCATTTGTACTCGTAGACTCATTATTAAACGTTGAAAATATCCCTCCAAATCTTGATGATAATCACTGAAAACAATAAAAAATATATAAGAAAACGATTCCTTGTACGTCTAAAAATTTGTCATGCATTTTAAAGATTATAAAGTAGGCTGTTTTAAAAAGTACTATAGCAGATTAATCAAATACACAGTATTGTGATTAAGATTGTTCTAATTCGATGCTTTTAGATCAATATACGTTTGTCTTACGTATATAAATCCATACATAGATACATAGATATATGATACGTTGCAATTTCGTAACTACCATCAACGATACGCGTACGATCGTACGTTATAGGTTGTTATTCGTTGAGTGAGTAATGGACGAACTGATTTCTAGTACTCGCTCTAGGAGAGTAATATTATCGTACGAGTTTCCATTCGAGGAGACAGACTGATCTTGTCAGTATTGATTTCTATATAACAGTAAGTAACGAGGTATCTTTTGAAATCATTTCTATCGGTAATATTTCGTGTTTGATTTAACGAATTAAAAAAGAACTTTGATTCGATTATTGAATAACGAAGAGGAGGAGAAAGAGAGAGGAAAGGGTTCTATTCGAAATTCTCGTGAAACGATGAACTTAGTTATCTCTATTGAAAAAAGAAGAGAAAAAATCTACGAGATACAATACAGACAAACTGTACGAAGATAGTATAACAAAACAATTAACGAAGACAATTAATAGATTGGAGTAATTTGCCGAAGTATTTACTTCGTGAAAGTAAAAAAAAGATGAACGAGATTTATCTCAGCTATGTACATCATACATGCATGTGTACATACTATATTTGCCAGAAACTTGCATGAAACGATTTAAGAACTGACTGCTCTTTCTACGAGAGATTATTTTTAAAGAACAGAAATGCTCTTCATACCGGAACACGAAGATGCGTTCTATTTTCACAGCGATTAAGTAAATAAACCGAGGAATACAATTTTTCCAATCTTTTAAAGAACGCGAATACTCTGACTCTGAAAATATATATATATATATATATCTGTATATGAATGCACCTCATGCATATCGCATAAGTCTTGTAATGTTAAATCATAAATTAAATTGAATTTATTCCCTGCTGTATTGCATTTGATTGATTAATATTAAAGAGTAAAATTGACTTATTTACAATGCTAAATCAATAAACTCACACTGTCTATTCATTTATCGTATAAATTAATAATCAAAATAACAAGCCTCCATTTTATTACAATATATATATACGAAAATATAAAATTCTACTTTCTCACACGATCCGACATTCTTTTGCAATAACATTAGAGATATTGACGACCAGAGAAAGAGATAATGAATGGTGGAAATAAATTTTGTCGAGGAAAAAAATTAAAAGAAACAGAGAGAGAGAGAGAGAGAATAATTTTGTCACGAAATGAAAGAAAGAAAAAAAAAATTAAATAAAAACAAGATACTCTTGGTCTCTTTTCGTCGCAATTTCGGGGAGAAGTCGAGCGCGTAATTATCCTACTGATAAATATACAGGTAGGTGGTAGTCGTAGCACATAGCGCATGTGATTTATGAGAATGGCATAGCAATTAAGAAGGGGGCGATATCTTAACTTGAATCGAGTCAAGTATGAGAAGAAGGAGGAGGAGAAGTTGGTTAATAGCACCTTCGTCGTTGCTCACCTACGCAAACAAATCAATTATGTTGAAATGACGACTATCTCTTCCTTCCTTCCTCTCTCTCTCTCTCTATTCCTCTTTCTCTCCTTTTTTTTCTATTTTTCGAGAAGCCTTAAGAAAAGGCGAAAAAAAGAAAAATTGGTGATACGATGACGAGGAGGAAGACGACGAAATAGCGTGCGTTTCGCTTTACGACGGAGAAAATAGATGAGAATCTCGTGGAGGGACGATTGTAATAATTCTCGGTCGTCTCTCAAGTACAACAACACTGGATTTGCCACGAACATTATGTCGCCTATTAATTCTCGACGCCGTGCTTTTCGCTTAGTTGTTCGAGCTTTTTTTTTCTTGAGAAAGACGTCGAGAAACAGAGAGAAGACTTCCTGACGCTCGTGATTTCAATGACTGATTAAAATATCACAGAGAGCACGTCAATCCTTTTGTTTTAAATAAAAAATAATACAATTAATATAAAATGTATTTTGTTATATATATATAAATACACATAAAGTTTTCATAAATATTTACTCACGTATCTTTACCATGATTTTCCACTTTTGCAGACCGAACAATTTACAGTACTGTGGTTACTATTCGCTGTGATCGTTGCTGGTAACACTGCTGTTCTAGCTGGTCTCTTGCTGGGAAAACGTCGAAAATCTCGGATGGATTTTTTCATCAAGCAACTGGCTTTCGCAGGTTAACTAAATCAATTACAAAATATATCTTAGTATATTATTATCATACCAATAGAATTTCATGGGGAAAACGCTTACAAATATATTTCTCTTTAAAATATCACAAAAAAAAAAGAATTAATAACCCGTGAGTTTTAATTGAAACTGTTAAATAGAAATTCATTTCACGCTGGTAAAATTTCTGTTCTTTTTTTTTTTATTAATTCTTCGCTGATCTATATTCGATAAAATATCAAATTAGTTCTTCCGTTGCAAATTAATCTGTCGACTTGAATCTGACATTCTCATTTAACAGTGTACGAATTTGTTTTAAGGATCTTACATTGCTCACCAATTGTTGGTCGTCACTTTTATTCAATTAGAACTTTTATATGAAAGGTAATAAATATGAGAAAATTATGAGGGTAAAGTTAGCCTCTTATAAAAAATAATGATGGTAGGATAACGCTTTAAAAAGTTTTCATAATAATGGAATCTTACTTTGAAAATCAACGATATTCTTGAAATCACTTCTTCATATTATCCTTTTGTTATTCACGAAGAAAGTATAAATATTTCTAACAAGGATAGATCTCTGGTTGGAAGAAGATTCAGTACGGAATATTTCATAGCATGACCTGCAGATATAAAACAAAAAATTTGTAGAATGTACATTTAACAAGTTACCACATGCAAAAGAAACTATAGAAAAACCATTCATTCGTTCGCTTTATATGATTCAATTTGAATGAGAATATAAAGGATATGTTATTCTTGTCATGGCTGTTATGACAAAAATTTCAAAATGTGTCAGAATATTTTTATGATTGACAGTAAGTATAAAAATATATTTGTTTTTCTATGAGAGATTAAAACAGAAAAAAGGGTTTATCACAAAGTAAAACGTTTGCGAAGTGATAGGGAAAGAGTATAAAGAGGATCGTTTCTCTGTCTCTAATTCCCTCCTCGTCGTTTATTTCAAGAATTCGCGTAATGACGTCACCTACATCGGTCTGTATATTTATTCGTTTGGAAATGAAGTGGACGAAACTCGGATAGCAGTTAATAATAACGCATTACGATGAATCATACCACTTCACTATCCATCCATGTTCACAGATCTTTTAGTCGGTTTGATATCAGTTCTGACGGATATAATTTGGAGAACTACAGTCACCTGGCATGCTGGTAACATTGCCTGCAAACTCATCCGGTTTATGCAAGCCGTCGTCACCTATAGTTCTACCTATGTATTGGTTGCATTATCGATCGACAGATACGATGCCATTACTCGACCGATGAACTTTTCAGGAAGTTGTAAGTATATTTTTGTTTGCTGTTATAATAATCGTTAGCATACTAGATGAATAATAATCCGGTCGACGATAAAATTTCATTTGCTACTTCGAATTTCCCTTCATGAGGTTTCTAAAATCTCTTCTACAATTCGTAAATGGAGAACGAAGATTTTCTTCGAATTTACTGCAAGTACTTTGAAACAAATATCGTATATATATACGATATAACATAGAGAAAGTGTCGAGAAGATCCTTTTGTACCTGCAATATATAAAAATAATCGTGAGTTGCGATGTCCGACCATTGTACACAGAGAAATATAACGATAAAGCTCGAGAAGAGAAGTAAATTGCTGGATCGGTAACACCTTGCATTTTCTCCTTTTCTCTCTCACTCTCTATCTTCTCCAAGTAAGATTTTTATGACTTATAAAATACAGAGTTACCTCGGATAAGTAGAAGAAGCTCAAAGATACCTCTTATTTCCTTTTCCCCCTCTCTCCCTCTCTTATACATTTTGAAGTTGTATTCGAAAAAGCCGAGGCAGCAAATGCGTACACACATTTCACGTTATTCTCGAGAGAAAAGCTCACCAAAGAGTGGTGAGCTGGACGAAGAGGCAGACACAGAGGAATAAGAAGAAAAAGCTGTAATTTAAAGGTCGCCAGTCAGTCGCAAGCTTTCCTCTTTTCAGACTTTATATTTACTGTCGACCGAGAAATCATTTCAAACCACGAAGCCGATTTTCAAAAAGATATATATATATATATATACATAGTTTTATGTTAGTATGCGTGCGTATAATATACAGGATGTTTTACCTTTTAAACTTTGTTATTTTCTCTAACGCGATTCTTCTAATCCGTTTTGAAAATCAACAAATTCGTATCGTTTAACATTTTTCGTTTTTTTTTTTCGATGATAAAAATATTCTTTTAACCGGAAAAAATATTTGAACCAAATAATCTCTTGTCAAAATAACTCATAGATTTAATCCGTTCCCTTTTCTATTCTCGCCTCATTTCATCCTGATATTATACCTCGTGCAAATAAACTCTCTCGTGGGAAGAGAAGTAGACACAAATATAAAAAAAAAAAAAAAAAGAGAAAGATACTTTCAATCGTCCAAATAAGAAAACCACTTACGCGTTTACGACTAGAAATACAATGTTAAATACATAAAACAAATGTTCTGAAGTACGAGTATTATTCTCATCAGTTTTACTCTCGTTTCTCTCATTAGCCTTTTCATTCCGTTAATTTAATGCAAAAATATGCAAGAGATAATGCAATTTTTCTGCCAAACTAATTGTAAGTCTAACTCATTGTTACTAAAGATAATAATAATTTATTCTTTAGTAAAAAAAGTTAACGCCAATGTAATTTCCCAGAGATTAAATCGTTTTCGAACCTCTATCAAATCTTTTTCATCTCTATTCCTGTATGTTCTTATAATACAGTTTAATTAAAATGATTTGCTTATTTGTCGTTTCATTTTCAATAAAATTATTTAATTGTCGATAATCGATAAGAATCTCTTCAATTTTTCAACACGATAATAATGTTCTAAAATAATCATTAAATATTATCTATTTAACATAATTTAAACAATGATCGTACAATAAATATTGAAATCAAACCTGATCAAATAAAAATTAAACAGAATTTTACTCCAATTATAGACGTGTTCGAAGTTAATTAGAGAGCAATCCAATATCCAGTGTTCAGAATATTATTTCGATGTTTTTCGTATGAAAAATATTATCGTTTATAGTACCAGTTGGTAAAGATTTGTAAGGTGAAGAATTTGACACACAGGGTGGAGAGCTCGAGTGTTGGTGGTGGTTGCTTGGAGTCTCTCAGCACTCTTCAGCGTTCCCATCATTTTTCTCTACGAGGAGAAACGTATACAAGTATGAGAAAAGAAAATACATGTGCATTTATTCTCTAGTAGATAAAATAATAAAAATATATTGCGATTTTTATTTTTTTTTTTTTTTTAAGGGAATGAAGCAATGCTGGATAGACTTGGGATCACCGATTCAATGGAGGATTTACATGAGTTTGGTGAGCTTTACCCTGTTCATAGCTCCCACCCTTATAATAGGAGGCTGTTATATGGTCATCGTAGCAACGATATGGTCACAAGGAAGCGCATTACGTCAGGGTCCAACTAGGGATACCAGAAGAGCTTCGTCCAGGGGTCTTATACCACGAGCAAAGATCAAAACCGTTAAGATGACCTTCGTCATAGTGTTCGGTAAGTAGTTTCAACTTTTCCCTACTTCGAATAAACGACTAAACTTTTTATTATTATTATCATTGACCAAAAGTTTGACTTTAACGACGAATATCAAGGATTAAATGGAATAAATGGAAAAGTTAACTTGATCGAGCTAGATTATTTCTGAGATTTGTCAATCTATTCTTTCATCACGGAGGCTAGGTGAAAAATCTAATATATAAAATTCTAATGATCGATGGAAATAGGTTTGACAAGAAATATCTGCTTAGTTACGACCGAAATAAAAAGCTCTTGAATGAAATAGAATTTGTGTACGATTAGAGGGGCTCTTTCGAAAGTTGGAGGAAAAGTGACTCGACGAATTCGACAGTAAAAAGCTATAACCCTCTCTCTCCCATGCGACACACTTCCCTATAGATAGCTATATATTCTCCTGCTCGCACGAATATCGTCGAACCGTTTTATTTGCACGGCGTAAAAGACGTGGCCACAAGAAGATAAGCGAGTGTTCTTTTTCTCTCTTCTCAGCATCCATATACGGCTTGGAAAGAAGAGAGCAAAATACGCCTGGAACTTCAATATACAGTGTGTCCGTTGAATATACGATTGTCTCCGGTTACATTGAAGAACATTGAAAAGACAGATGTCGAGGAATATAAATGTGTCTCGTACAAAGTATGAATTTAAAATACAAGAACGTTCTCCGAGTAAGAAAAATATACAATAACGAACAGTAGACGTCGATGATTCGATGAATTTTACAAAATATCGAGAGATCAAGTAGAACAAATCAAAATGAAACATTCGTAACTAATATTTCGATTAATTTGAAAAGATAAAAGATGAAGCAAAAATGTATGTAAAGTTACGAATCACTAGACTTTGTCTAGGACACCCTGTATATCTCGATTTCTAAGGTTCGCGTACATCGTTCAACCTCCACCCCCTTATCTTGCCAGGGACAATTTTACGCGTACGAGAAATCGTTCGGGCTAATCAGATTCGCTTCTTGCGATTGGTCTTTTTGGATGTCTCTTCTTTTCTAGCTGACGACGATACTTTCGCGAAAGGAGGAGTCCAAGGATGGGATCAGTCGATACGACACCCTCGATATTCTCCCAAAGTGAGAAATTTTCCTCTCAAAGAGCGATGATACAGGGTTGATAAATGATAAAGAAACAACAAAATCACTCATCAACTTTTGTCTCCTGGCTCTAGGAAAGAAGAAAAAATACTTCAGAGGAATAAAAGAAAAATGAAAATCTGATGACCTGGCCAGATTTCAAACGTACTTATGAACGCTCGAAACAACAGTACCTACATTTAGCAATCGGATTAAAAGGGAACGAATACAATCAGTTCGTTCAGCGAGAACATTCTTAAAGTGTTTATACAATCGGAATGGCTATCAGGATTCTGAATCACGATCCAAACATGTGGCCATTACAAGAGTTTACTTCTCATTCGCATGTACAATATACTAGATCGATCACTAAAAAAATAATTGGTTTATTATCGTATTATTTTGATCGTTAAAATTGAAGAAAAATTCATTGTCTTACCATACACACCCAATTCTTCTAATTATTTCAGTATTCATACTTTGTTGGAGTCCATACATAATCTTCGATCTCCTACAAGTTTACGGACACGTACCAAAAACCCAGACGAACATCGCAGTAGCTACTTTTATACAAAGTCTAGCGCCATTGAATTCCGCTGCCAATCCCATCATCTATTGTCTTTTTAGCACGCCATTCTGCAAAAATGTACGGTGAGTTAATCGAAATTGCAAATATAATATTAATGTTGTCTTTACAAATTGTAGACAAAAGAATGTTCTATAAAAAGGAATGTTCTAAATTATTAATGAAAATGGTAAAAAATTGTAAAGAGCAACTGTTGCTCGGTAGGAACATGCAGGCGATTTCCTGGGTTTCGGGATGGTGCACTGCAAATCCACATCACTGCTTTGGCACCGGTGGTGCTAAAACCACAAGTACGAGGACGACAGTGACGACGTCCCTGACGGCACATTCATCTCGTAAAAGTGGACCAGGGATGCTGCACTCGACAACTTCGAGGAAGCACGTGATGGTGTCATTGGTTTAAATTGTTTAAAAGATCAACTGAGAGAAAGAGAAATAATATTTCAAACTTTTATTTTTACTTATGTTTCTTTTTCTAACTCTCGAAGAAACTCCCGACAAAATTCTTGAGCAGCCTACCTACTTGCAACCCACCAATCAACCAATTCTTTCGTTTACCCGAGCAAGCAAACTCGGCTTTACTTTAACAATAAATCACTTTAAGGCGTCTTTCATTCTAAAGTAAATACTCCTTTCGATCTCTTTTTACAAAACTCTTCTAAATAACTACTGTTATAAATAATAAATCACACCGAAGCTATCTCATCACAATCAGTGCGATAATTATTATAAATATTACAATTAAAAGATTTTCTTTAACTTACAATATAATAGAAATGTTTTCCATAACAATATTTATTTCGTAATTATTTTTAATTTTGTACCTTTCGATATCTCATCGAGGATATATCGAGAAAAGGTATTTTTCTTTCGCATCGTCATTTAAATTGTCTCTTTGAACGAGTACAGGTTTCGACCTACATTTACGAGCGCTTTAAAGTTGAAATTCTTGGAGAAAGGAAGCTAATGAAGAAAAAAATACAGAGAGGAGAATCATTAAAAAAATAATTGGTTCGCGATTTCTCTCTTTAAAATTAACAACATTTTAATGAACACGATAGAAATAATTTGTAATAATAAAACTGTATTGCTACGTTACTATCATACATTAATACGACCGTCTCTGTTTTACCTTGGCCGTACAATTACAAACGTGCATTTATATTGCTTTTACAAAATTTTGATCCTCGTACGATCACAAAGTTCATTTTTATTCACCCTTCTAAAATCGAAACTTGCTTATTCCAATTCTTTACAATACAAAGATAAAATAATAAATGACGATGTAAATAAATTTAATGTAAGGAGAATGAAATATTGTAGGTAATTAAAAAAAGTATCACGTATACTTAAAGTGAGTGAAACGTAAAATGTCTTGAAAATAAGTACGAGGAAAGGGAATATTTCGCGATTACATGATATCTATCATAAATATAAATATATACAGATAGAAGAAAATCGATTTGATATTTCGCAGCAAACTCGTGGAAATAAGAAATCGACGTTTTCTTCGCTTTTTATACATATATATATGTATGTATCAGTGAAATTCGATGGAAAATAAAATTCTCGAAGGTATATACCAACGTGTACATACACCTATATATTTATATATATAATAAATATAAATTTACATAATAATAAAATAATACTATATGTAAAGAAAATTTCACAGCTTTGTGTCTCTCGATGTATCCCATTATTATACATACATACATACATATTTATTCATAATTTATATATCTCAATTAAAATAATAATTTATTATTATGAATGTAATGGACTTTTCATCGACAATAGCAGAAATTTGTAAATACCATTAAGAGAATAAAATAAATGATCAAACAGAAATATATTTTTTCTCATTTAAAATATTCCCAATGACTTATCATGAATTCATTAAAAGAAATAATAAAATCACGTATTAAATCTCTTTCCCTTTCCTCTTTTATTTTAGAAAGTTCTTTTTGTTTTCCGAATACTTTCAAGCTCGCAAAAAATAAAGGAGAGTTAACATCAAATCGTGTATTCGTTTTCGTCAGTGAAATAAAATTTTATCGCGTTCTTCCATTCTCTTTTACGGCCTAGCACACTCGACAAGCGTGTAAAATCCAATTACTACCATTGATGTCAAGTCAAATAGAAACTGAATTATAGTTTTCGCTTCTCATTTTCTTTCTTATTTTCTTTGACGTAAGATCGTAATTGTGCTAAAATTTTTATAAAGATATCCAGAAAAAATTTCTAAAGAAAAAAAAAGAATAGAACATTTCATTTTTATTGCAAAACATTACCACAATTAATTCAAATGAATATCAATTTCCAAGTACGATTTGAAATTAGCGAGAACAAAAGAAAATGATGATAAATTTCAGATTGTAATGTCCAATTAATAAAATATTAATTTTTTTCACTTTGTGACAATTGTTATTGCATCAATTATCGCTAATATGTAAAAATTTCAAAAAGAGAAGAAAAAAAAAAGAAAAATAGAAATTTCCTTTCCTGCTGCTGAGGAATATCAAGAAATTGGATCTTAGTCAATAAAAATATCAAATTTGCATGAGAAAATCTTGTAGTCGGAAGATATCGATAAAGAGAAGATCCAAGATGTCTTGCTTGAATTGTCGATCGATGGATCGTGGAATGGATCGGACGCTTCATCTAAATACTCCACATTCTTACGATCACTATAATTCTAACATACATTCCCCGAATATTCGTAATCCTTGTACCGAAGTGTACACCACAGGTACGAAGATAATTAATATGTTACATTCATATCTTTTGAGTAATTTCTCAATTCATTTTGACAATTATTCGACTAAGTCTCTTAATTATCATATCGAGTAGAACATCCTAGATAGAAGATAACAAGATCATATTATTGTTTTTAATCTAAAAAATCATTTTATCTATTTACGGAAAATATAAATCTTACCAAAAAGAAAGTCGATATTCAAACAGAGAAGAAGAAAAGTTATCGTCCTTTCAGGAAGTTATACAACAGCTGGGTGGATCACTCCGACGTCGGTGGATTACAGCAAAAGCACGACCGGCACCGATACATCTGGAGAGGCTCGATTTAACTACACTACGATAAATTGTAATAATATTGAGCAACATTCAAATAACGTACAATGAGATAACTGAATATTTCATTTCTCGTTATAGTACATTGAAATAGAATAACAAAGATTACTCATTTTATGTTCCTAGGTGTTTCATTCTTCTCTATATTTTTATCTCAGTTTATTTGATTTTAGAATTATTATCCTTTCCATTGTTCTTCATACAGTTCTACCTAATTGTTAAATAAAAAGAATAAAATTTAATTCGTGTTAATTAAAAAGGAAATCGAAAGAGAAGGAGAGAAATAAAATATTTGATTGAACGTTAACAGTAATTAAAAAGTGAAAGAAAATTTGTGTAGGTAGAGATGACCAACCTGCGTTTCCAGCAGAGAGAAATGTGGAAATGAGGAAAATTGTTAGCGAATCAGCTGGAGATCGACGAATTTCAATCGCTAATGTAACTTCCATAGAAAGTATCAAAGGTAGATTAAAATTGCTCGAAAAAAAGAACGTTACGATGCGAGAAAAATGTTGTGAACTTTTTGCAGAAAAGGAAAACTTTAAAAGTTGGTAAGGAATTCTTGGTAAAATCGATTATCTTCCTCGGTAATCCATTTCTTCCTTTTTCTTTGTAGTCTTGACAGAGAGAAAAGTAGAAACGAGGAGTTAGAGCGTAGGTTGACTTCATTGCAAACAGCATTAATGGAGAAGGAAACAGAACTTGCTAAAAAATCAAATAAACGATTAGTAAGTGTGCAGTAAATAAACAAATTATAAAAGAACAAATAAATGAAAAATAAATTCGATCATCTCTTGTGTGTGGTTTCTACTTTATAATTGTATTATAAAAAATAACAAAATACTAATAATTATTAAGTTATTCCACAGGCAAGTGTAATTACATTTACAATGCACAATTCTTTTAGGAAGATAACACTATAAATAAAATGGAAAATAGTAGTTCAACAACCGATATTGTAGCGACTGTAGAAAAGGGTATACAGAACTGGTCCCTTTGCCAGGGATGCCAGAACAAATTAGAGAGCTGTACAAATAATATACTTGCAGTAGCAATTACAAGGTAATCATAGATTAACATTCAATAAATTTTATTGATTGGCTATCGGATGAACGAACAAATTATTATTATTTCCTTTGATATTTTGTTTACTTACTTACTAATCGTAAGCAATTTATTAAATTAAATGGAACTAATCGATAAAAGAAACCAAAGGTACTTTAATTGGTAAATAAAATATAAATGAATGTAAAAAAATCGCGCGAGATTGTAAATAATATAATATTAAATCTATGAATAAATTAATTTGACATTTATTCTTCTATACGATTTCCTATGATTTTTATATATCCTTTCACATTTCAAGAAAATCCTTAAAAGATTTAAAGGAACGTGCACATGCTCTTTCTTTCTCTTTCTCTTTGTGATTTATCCGTTCATGAGTGGAATTTTTAAGAGGACACGTCTCTTTCGTTCCGCTAACGTTAACCTCGTAGATCGGAGCTGGATATCCTGGAAAGGGACATGCAAGTCCTCAGAGACGCAGTGATCGCAAGAGAAGAAGCTTGGGACAAAGCAATGGAACAGGAACAAACGTATCGTCAGCAAATACTCAGGCTAACATGTGAGACTATTACTATTCGTCATATACAAGAATCACGTGAACAAGAATTGAGAACTATTAAGGATGTTTTGAAAGTAATTAAATAAAATAATAGAATAAAATCCTGCTTCGAAACAAAAAAAAACCATAAAAGGAAAAGCAATCTATGAAACGGAAAAAATGCATTATTTTCAGGAGAAGGAAAACGACTTTAAGAACCTGCAAAAGAGGGAGAACAGTCTAAGGAAGATCGTAACGAAGCTTCACAAGCACCAAAGGTGAGAGAAATATTCGTAAAAATAATTCCTAACTCGAGTAGGCGATTGAGATTAACGGAAACTGTGCTCGAGCGTAAAATCGAGCGAAATTAGATAACAAAGGATTTCCTGCTATTTCTATTTCTATTTCTATTTCTATTTCTATTTTTTTTTATCCACAAAACTCTAATGGAAAAATTGCTATTAGGACGACTATTTTTATTATTATCATGATCATTGTTATCAAGAATGGCTTTTCATTTCCATGGTGAATATAAAAAATGGCAAAGCGGATTAGAAAATTCTTGTTCCTTTTATCAAGTTTTATAAAAGTTTATAATGCACTGTCCCATCATTTTATTCATCGTTCTTTATGTAATTCGCTTTTTATTCGCATCTTCTATTTTCTTTATTTTTTATTTAAAAAGAGTGGAAAAGTAATAAAGATAATGTGAAATGGTGAACGCTAAAGTCGAATAGTAATTTCGTCTTCTTTCACATTTTCTCTCTTTTTTTTTCTATTTTCTATTGCTTTAAGTAAGAAAGAGAGAGTGAAAGAGATGAAGAGAGGAGAGGGAAAGCTACTGGTAATGCATACGGCACTGGCTCACATTTTAGTAGTCTCATTTGCAAGCTCTCCGTAATGGAGCATGTTTAATATTCCCTTCAATTTTTTCTTAATGACCCGTTTCTTTTGCAACGTAAGTAATAAGATTTTTTCTCCCGTCTAATAATCAAATAACTGAACCAACCATTACAATTGTCTCCTCCTATCTTATAATGAAACTGCACATTCACTGTTTGATTACTTGTTTGTAAAAATGTATCAACAAAAATTGACGTAAATATTTGACTACTTCTTTAAAAATATGCTCTCGTGTTGTTTGCAGAGATCAAGAAGGGAATCTCGGAAATTCTCCGACGTTAGAATTGACTGAAAAAGAGCAGAGAATGATCGAGGAGTGCTCGAGACAAGTATTATCCAGCTTGAAAGGAAAACAGAAAATAAAATCACGAGGATATACAGTAAGTGAGAAGAACATCCCTACTGAATCACAACGTACGAGTCCTCGAAATAATAGTAGCAGTAATAAGAATACGAGTCAGGCTAAAGACTAATAATAAGATTTCTTAAAAAATATCTAATTTGAAATCTCAAGTGTGTTTTCTACGTCAATTTCGATCACATTTTTATAACGAATCCATAAGAAAAAAAAAGGGAAAGAAACAAAGTATTATATAATTTGAGAGAGAAAAAATCAGAAAAGTGTAAAAATGTAACATCGATGTTATTTATAATCTTAATGCAACGTTCTTTTATAGAAACGTGTGTAAACCGTTTAAATAAATAATTTTAACGAGATGACTTTTTAATTTCTTTCCTTTTTTCTTTTTTTTTTTTTAATAACAGAAAGAATGACCAAAAAAGTGCAAACTAAATATGATAAAATGTTTTACGATCTTCTCTCGCCGACGTTCAGCCCTGTTTCCTTCTGAGTAAACAGAGCAATACGCATATCTAACAAGGAAAAAGCGTATATGAGAGAAATAGTTTCAGGCCCTTTCGTAAAAATTGAATAATAGAATCTAGGAGAAGCTTGACAAGAATGCGCGTATAAAATATTATTCTCTTGCGTATGCGTGTCCAACGAGAAAGAGAAAGACGGAAAGACTGTGGTTACTTTGTTTGTTTCACTTTCCGTGAAAAATAATACTTAATTACATACTTTTTATACGAAAGAACGAACGCGTTTAATAATCATCTATAATAACTTCATATTAGATTTTAATGTAGTCAAGCATTTGCAAATTAATACAAATGACTGCATTTATATATTTTTTATGTGTAATAAGAAATATGTTTATCGTTATTTCCTAGTCTTTCTTTTTCTTTTATTTCCTGATTTTATATTCCACGTATCATATATGGGAAATAAAAAGGGAAACACAAAGTACCAAAGTTCCAGGCGTATCGTGTGTTTTGCTGCAACATCAGCTTCCAAATCCTACGCATTTCATCTCTTTCAAAGCAATCAAGTTGAGTTCTTTGTTATAGAGATGAATATCCCATTGCATATGTATGCTTGTATCTATTAAAAATATATAAGTAAGAACATAATATACTTGTGCTTCATTTTATTTGAATACAGAGACATGCAAAAATGTAAAAAATTAAACAAAAATCTTTCAAGCTGATGTTTTCATTGCAAACAACATCGATTATTTCTTACGATCAGTCTCTTTCGTAACATTTTGAAAGAGAAAGACATTTCTCACATAAAAAATTTCAATTAAAAATTAATATAGATACTGATTTAATTTAAATACCTTTGATCATTTTTGTAAAAAGATCAAGATCGATAATTTTCGTCGGTAAAGAAGATCTTCCCATCTTGATCCATCTCCTTCCTAAAAAATTAAATTCATAATTGGAATGTTTCTATAAGAAAGAGTAAACACAATAACAAAGTATTGAATATAATTAAAGCTAATAACAATAATTAATATGTAATTTTCTGAAATTACCGATTGATCTTGCTGTCTGTCAGTAAGCATGTCGATAAAAACCATGTCGATAAAAACGGATAATGCTCGCTGGGTAATTCTTTATTTCTAGGACAGTGGGGTCTTGAATGGTAAAACAGTTAGGAAAAATCCTGGAAAATAATTTATCCGTTAAAATATTATCATTTTTATTGTATAAAAGTTATGATAAATATTTCATCACGCCATTCATCTCATCTTTTCATGCTCCAGCTAAACAATAGTTTGATTGAAATGTCAAAAGGTATGCGCCTCGAGACAAAAAAGACAAGACAGGCGTAATACATAATTGTATAACTTCTTTTCTTTTTACAAAATAAACGAAGAACGTATATTCTTTTGTTTCATGTTAAGCAAATAAAGAATAATTTATTTTTAGCCATCTTTTGAATAGGTTCAAAGAAAATGTTTTATCACTCGCTTATTTAGTTGATCTATAAGGATGATATATAATCGAAATGATAACGAAAAAACTTCAACAATTAGACGTATAATTAACGTGGAAAGATAATGTATTAAAATTAAAAAAACTTTGTTTATTTGAAACAAATGAATGCAAGAGCAAGTAGAATAATTAAAACGTAAAAAAAACAATCATTTTCCAATGCATAGAATTAATTTTTAATTAATCAATTACCGTTCAAACTTGAAATATTTGAGGTTACATAATTAATTTGGACATTAATTAACATAACCTACTATTTTTCGTTTCTATCGTCTATCTCTCTCTTATGAAAAAATAAATAAATTATCTCATTAACGATAAATAAATAGATAATAAAATAAAAATTGTGCGTTTATCTTGTCTCGAAAGATACGATTTAGCGGTATTGACGAGAAATGTTTAAATTAATCTCATTATATTTTATAATTAATCGCACATTTTTTAATGCAATTATTAAAGTAATAAACAATTGAATTTTACCGTTAATATTGAAGGATTTGGATAAATGGTCTCGATGATCTGGAACTGTGAGGAATGAATTCAGGAAATGCTTCTGGAATTTATCGGTCGTCCTTCTTTCTTCGAAAGAAAAAGTAATATAATTGATTTAATTAAAATATATTTTTAACATCACAGCACGCGCGTTTATTAACGCCGCGATAAAACTTGAGAGAATGAAAAAAAGATATTTAAAAAATCGTCAACTTCGACCTCTTGTAACGATTTGCAACTTACGATCAAAGAAAAAAATGCACGACTTCTGCCGTTAACTTTCGCAGATAATGCGAATATTTTTTTAATGGATATCAACGAACGTGTTTATCAGAATTTACTTTCCCTTCTTTATGATCTTCTCCCTCGAACTAATTTATAACTAAATAATCTTTCCTAATAAATGCTCGATCGAAAATTTCCACCCTCGAGATATTTGTGACCGTTAACTGCTAAAGTCATTGTAACCAACTATTATTAATATACACAGTGAGATAAAAAAAATACCAATAAAAATTCCCTAATTAGTTATTTTTATCTACAAATTGCAAATTGTCTCTTCTATTTTGTAGCACAGGTTTTATTTTTATTTAAAAAACAAATTTTCTATAATGAATCAACTACCTAATCGCGTTAAATTATAAGTTCCCGGCCGATCACTAAAGTCAAGCAATATGGGCAAGGTTAGTAGCATAACTAGTACTAGTTAAGAAATAAAAAAACAAAAGCCGCGTGCCGTTGACTTCAGAGGATGATAAAAGCGGTAAAATCTTTGGTAATTTAAATAATTTGAAAGTGTTTGTAGAGAAGATACTCAACCCATGAGAGGGAGTAAAAAAACAATATCTCAATAATGATTAAAATCGAATTACGCGGTTCTTTTTTTTATTTAATAATACACACATACAAACTTATCACAAAATTGAGATTATTAACAAATAAAAATAGAATATGGCCTGTTATTTTATAAGATAGTTGTAAGAAATTCATCTTGAGTTACTGGTTCGTTCGAGCGAAAAAAGCTTCGAGTGCAAAGGGTTAAAACAATTAAATACTAATTTCGTATTAATTTTTAAATAATGACTACTGTAGTCATTTCATGTCATCCAATATACCGGGTGGATTAAAAATATGATCAATCAATATGCTAGTCAATCGATCAATTCTATTAAAAATCTAATAATGAATTATACAATCTTGTTTGTTCATTTATTGTTTATAATAAAATAAAAAAAGAATCAACGATAATGCAAAATAGTGAATTTAAATGGGTAAGACAAATTGCACATTATTTCATAGTAGCTAACAACTCTTGACATGCACTTGACCCTGAAGTTGTAACCCTTTCAAAAAGTACTTGAAAAGTCTTTCTTATTCAGCATATACATTTTATCCTTTGTGTCTTTAATTTGCTAGTTTCTCAACGTTTTATTGTCATTTACATCAATTGCAACATTTTTTGGAGTAAGAAGAAAATTCCTTTTATGAGAATGCAAGAAGGTACTCACAAAAACTCGAGAAAAAGCGTTCGCAAATTGTAGGTTAAACGAATAATATTTTAAATTCATACAAGGTGGTAACAAGAAAGGTATTTAAAATTTTGAAAATATTATTATAAAAAACAAGTATAAGAATAGTTTAATCGTGCAAAATACTCATCAAATATCATTTTTTATCTTGCATTCGGGAGTTTATTTATTAATGTTTGTTTTTTTTTTCAGCGATGAGGATTCTACAATCAATAAAAAAGAAAAGAAATGTAAATCATATTCGCGCTTACTTAGAGATAATACGTTATCGAATAGAGCAGGAATTATCCACGACCTGTTGGCAAGCTCTCGACACTTTATTCTGGATTTGTAATCTCTTGCAAGCACGATTACTGTGAGTATCCTTAACCCATTCTTCATCTCTCTTTATTTTTGAATTCGTATTTATATTATGCCGAAGAGATACCAGGCAATTATTTTATTTATTATCGATTTGTATATAGATACTTGATATATTTAAAAGAATTAAAAAAAAAAGAAGAAATAAAAGATAAATCGTTTTAAAGAGGAGTGGCAGATTGGATTGAACGTCAGTCGTCCAGCATAGCGGCTTCAAATTTAGCGCGCGACTTGCGCGCCTCTAAAAAATCAATGAGTCCAGCCGGCGAGGAGAATTGTACCAGCGCAATCCCTTCGAGTCGTATCAGAGACGTGCTCGGCGTGTCCCTTAGGAACTTAACTATTTTACCTTCTAAATTTCTCAATTATCTCAACAAGAAAGATGTAACAACATCGAATTGCGAAATGCCGGGTCAGGAAGACATGGACCTTTGCACCGACAAAGTCCTATCCAAGAGTAGAATTCTTCAAGAATTAACGAAAGCCGTCAAATTGGTGAGTGTGTGTGTGTAGCGTGTATATGTACTGCTACTGCTGCTGGGAGTGCAATGTTATATATGTGTGTATGTGGCGTGTGTACAGGTAAAACTCTTACAACCATATATCCCTCTCCCTTTCTTTTTCCTATCTCTTTTTACATAGAAACGTGTCGTATGAATATCCAAGGCCATTTATGTATATATTCTGTATTCGCAACTACATTTATATATATATATATATATATATATATCTATATATTCCAGAATACCTATATACTTTTGCACAGCGCACACACCAGTCGTTTAGTATATCGAAGAGAAAAATCGACGTTTGACTCGCAATGCAAGTTAGAAAGAAAGAACGAAGCAAAGTGGAGTGAGAGAATTGAAAAGAAAAAAGCTAACTATCTCTCAATAGATCTATATTAGATTCTCCTTCCTTTTCCACTACTGTTCAGCCTAACTTTCACGCGCACAGTCATACAGGAAATGCAGTTTATGGATCGCCGCGCGAAAGTCTGATAAGGAAAATTGAGAGGATGACGTCAGAGGGGACTCCAAATTGATTCCTCATCGTTGAATTCGATTATACTCTCAGGATAACAAAAAGGACAACGTTGATATACATTTTGTTGTTCATTTTTCTCATCATCCTTTTTGTTTCATTAAATGTCTTATTAAGATGTCGAAAAGTTCTGAGAAATGTCAAAGATGACAGTAGGAGAACTGCTGATCATCACAGACACGCAGTACACGCGATCCTGTCAGCTAGCGCGAGCTCCTACACGAGCAGACTATCGTTTACTGTTCATGTTCTTCTAATCATACTCAATACTACGTTAATCTTTTCTTTTCTTTATCTTGATTTCAAGTCTATCAAACAATCGTTCAAACGTTATCGCACATTTCGAAGTCTCCTCTCCTCGAGTTTCAGTCTTCTTTGTTTTAATTCGCCTAAGATACACAGCTGAAATAATTCCCGCGATAAGGTTCTTATTATTTTCTTTCTTTCTTTGAGATGAGTAGATAGAAATAAAATTTAGCAATGTTCTGTGTCACGAGTAAATTAAGAAGGACACGTCGTGTGTCGGTTATTTTTATATACATTTTATGCATTGCAAAACACATGTACTATTTTCAGACACAATTGTTGGATCGGTTCTAAAAGATTTTTATATTTTGTACCGTCATCGAGTGTCCATTCGTTTCTAATAAATCGTCGTTGTTACTCTCCCTTCTACGGGTTTGAGAAATCTTAACAGCATCTTTCCACACTTCTGATGTCTCTCTTTGGAGTCAATAGCAAAAGGTGGTCGAAAGCAGTCACCTATTCAAGTACTAACCATGTCCATTGTCGCTTAACTTTAGTGATCCAGTGAGAACTAGTTTTTTTAATAAGATGAGAATGTTGACACATTCATTTATAATAGATTTTCTTCTCTTCTTTAGTTGATTATTAATGCATCTGATTTATATCAATTAGGTTTACGCTCAGAGTCTGTATGGTACCGTAGTCTTGGATGGAGATTCCTGGCTTGTTTATTGGCTAGATCGAGCCCTGAGACATGGTTTACGCATAGAAAGACACGGATACTGGGGTACAGCAAGAGAACTAAGTCATCAGGATACTGTTGTGGTGATTCATGCACTCCAAAGTGTACTAACTTCCATAGGAAAAGGTGAGTCTTTGCAAAATGTGCGAATATGCTTCATTGCAATTACATTCTATCCATCTTAATATTTATTTTTGAAAATAATTATTATCAAGTATCATAATACTTGAAAATTGGAATATTCCAAAAAAAGTTATTTATATTTTGTAGGTAGAGCATGGTTATATCATACCCTCAGCGAAGGCAGCTTTGAAAGTTATTTAGCCTGCTTACTACGGGATACTAAAACTTTAAAGAAACAATACTTTCAACATGCACTTGTTCGCGATGCCGATAAGACAAACCAACTTGTAAATCTCCTTGCTGGTTTAGAAAATGTCTCCTTCACTCTACAACTAGTAAGTATAATAAGATATTATTTAACATAAATGGCAGATCCGAAATTTTTATTATCTTGTATGAGATAATTCAATTGTATATTTTAACGTCATGATTATTTACTTCTATATTGTTGTTTGCAACTTGGATAATCTTATTTTTTTTATTTTATAAGATAGCAATATGTTGACTAAAATTGGACGATGTTTTCCTTTAACTTGTGATGTAGTTTTTATTAGACTTCCCCCATGCAGATATCAATATCACCCCCTAGTTACAATTATCTCTGTAATAAATAACTTATGTCTTGTTGAAAGAGTTGTATATACGCACATATCTGCTTTTATAAATTGTAGGGTCAATATGTTATCTTGGTATATAGTATATTTTTACAATTAGAATACGATATATATAATTAGTGCTTGGAAAAGTTTGTTTAAATAAAAAAATAGTATGTCTATATTATAATATCAAGAATAGTTTTGTAAAATAAAATGTTGATTTTAAATATAGGATGTGACATACTTGGACATCTGCAATTATATGCCACAAAGGCCTATGAGCATAAACTCTTCTGGAACTGTATTATCTTTACATCTAAGATCTTCTAGCGTATGCTCGAGCTTAGCCTCTCCCGGAGATAGTGGTGTTGCATTCGATAGTGACATGGACTTAGCGAATGAAACTGATGCCAGCAGTTATAAAGAAGTAAGTTATCTTATATTATTAATTTGACCTTGTATTTCTTTTGACACTGACACGTATTTTAGGAAGATTCTTCGATGGATGATATCCCAGATTATCGAAATAACAGATACAAAGTTATTATTAACAACTGTATACAAGAGAACAAGAATTTTAGCTCGAGTGATTCTAGCGAGGATGGAAAAACACCAATGCAGTCTCCTGCAGTTAGCAAATTTCAAAATGTGATTATGACAAAGAGCGACATCGCTAATCAAAATTTAACTCGAAAGCTCGAAGATAACGAACTCAACTGTTCGAGTTTGGACACTTTAAAAGGCTACGATTTTTACAGCAGAAGTCTTGATACAGTTCACTTGGATGCTGTTAACAATAAATGCGATAACGGAATTAAAGAAATAAATAAAAGAAGCAGCTATTATGGGGATGGCAGCTATAGTTTCAAGAAGAACATAGATCCTCGTAATTCTTACGTGATTAATAATGATACTAATCTCTTGGAATTGAGCATGACCATTTCTGATTGCGATAACATAGAGCCTCCTTATGGTATTCTGAACACACTTAGCATGACAGATGCGAGCATTCTGTCAACTTCTAGTTCTGAAGCCATAGTACAACGTAGACAACGTAAGAAGAAACGTGGTGAAAGCAAAAAACGTGTTAGTTTTCACGAAGATATTCTAAAAACAATGAAATTAGATGACGACGAAAGCTATGCTGATTTCTCCATGAGCTTTCTAACGCCGAACTCAATTCAAAAAAAGGATGCTCAGAAGGGACGTTACAGTTGGTGCGGACACGGAGATTCTCCTTATGTTAAAAAAAGTACCAATACAAGAAACGCGCATTCTGATTATTATTCCTTTTCGTCGTCATCGAGCGTATTCGATAGTGATCTTGAGAAAAAAGGAGCAGAAAAGTTATGCAACCAAACCTTGTGCCAGAAAAATTGTAAATGTTCTTGCGGTCTATCTTTACCAGAACGTGGTTCACCAGAAGGACAAGAGGATCCTGCTAAAAGTTTAAGACCAAAAATGGAGATAGAATTAGAAGAGAACGAGGCGCAAGAAGCATATATCATTGAAAAACAATATGGTAATATTGTTGAAGATCCACCAGTAAAAGTAGAAATGCCGAGACCGTTAAACATTAAGAAATATGCCAGTTCTAGTGATTGGTCCGACGTAGAGAGCATTACAACTTCTGATTTAGAAGAACGTAAGATTAATAGGCACTTAGCTTCGCCGTCTAAAAAACGTAACATGACCTCGATATTAACGGGTGAAAGTAGTAATAAATTATTGGCACCTCCTTTACGACATGCACCATCTAAAACGTCATTGTTGAGTAGATTTTTGAGATCTATTACAGAAAGGAAATTTGAAAATAAGAAAACGAAGAAACCACAGAAGGCTAATCCCTTGTACATCAAAGGAGTCAAAGCTAATTATGATTCCTTTAAGGATTTTAATGATAATCTTGATAGAGAAATACAAGAGAATGTTGCTGCAGAAAAGCAAGAATTTAGTGGAGAAAAAATAAGCCTAAAATTGCGAGAAACCTTTAAGAAACATATTTACAGAGACAAGACAGAAGAATTGTATAAAGTTTATAAAGTTAGAAGTTCATACATGACAAATGGAGAAAGCAAGCCTATGATCGCGCTACTAACGGATAAAACATTATATTTAACTGGCTCAAAGATGGATCATTCTTACAGTAATCAATTCGTGATTCCTTACAACGAGCTTGATGTTATAATGGTAACAAAAATATATTATTTAATCCTTCGCACATAATTTTCCTAATTAAATAATACACTCTGACGAAAAAATTTTAAATTTTTTCCAGATTGGACCAAATGCACAAACGATTCTAATCTCCAACGCCGATTATGAGATGCAGTATCTATTTTCTACTGGCAATTCGCAAACCACTTCTGAATTAATTACACACTTGGAAATAGCTATGAGAAGATCGCCATCAAAACCTCAATTGCCAGCTGTAAAAGAACTAAGTTACGAAGACATGCATATTTTGAAGCAGTCGATATTGTCCGATACTGCTGTACATCCTGTAAGTAAATTATATTATATTATTAGTTAAATGATTTTATACTAATATTAATATCACTTGTAGGATGAAAAAATAGAACATTACAGTCTTATTTATATGGAGGATGAACACATGTCTCCTCCAAGTACACCATGTGGTCCAACCAAGGAAGGAGATCTTATGTTTAGACCTCATACTTATCAGCAAATACATCCCAATGCACCAATAAATCCTTGGGAAGCTGGATATTTTGTTCTTAAAGGCGGTGTAGTTTACATGTTTACCGATTCAAATCAACGCCTTCCTAAACGTGCCATTCCATTAAAAGGTGGCCTTTGTCAAGGTTGCAGAAGAATTCCCAACTCCCATAGACCGCATACATTTGAAATACTTTTGAAACCAAACAAAGCATTTCAATTTGCTGCTCCAGATGAATATGTTGCTTCCGAATGGTTGCAGAGTTTTGTGCAGAGTGCATCTGGTTTGTTTGATTGTTCAGATAAGAGAGAGCCTATGCCTTGTAGTCTTATCACGACTACCAGACATCTAGTTGCTATGAAAGAAGTATATCCAGGTACTCAACGCAATCAAACATTATCCTGTGCTTCTGTGGAAGACTTAACAGCATTCAGAGTACCCTTACCTGAACAATCTTGGTGTATATTGGTAATTATACTACAATATACTACTACTTTTATTTTATTTTTGACAATGTTTCTATTACTTTTGATATTTCAAATGTTTAGGAATTCGCATGCCGGGAGGTTCACGAAAGTAGCGGTGATTGGGTTATATATTTTACTAATTATACAGAGCTCTGTACCTTTAGAGAGATATTACAAACATTATGGGCCGATGCGGATTTGGTATGATCATTATTGATGCATATACAAAATGACATTGTCTGATTAACAACTACTTAACACTTTCTTATGACATTTTAGGGTGAATTTCCTATGGTTACGCTTCCTCCAGAAGATAAACTTCATCGACGCTGTTCGGATGCTAGTAAAGATTTAGAATATGCTTGGCAATATTTATTACCGTCAACAGTCGAATAAACAGTAAAGTGTATCAATAGAGACACAATAGAAATACTTTTAAAAAGATATTTTACTTTATCTCACGATAAAGAAAAAAGAACAAAAAATTGCATATTGATAACCTACAAGGTAATATCGAAAAAACCTAAAATAATGAATTTTACTTTCAATGATATAATACACTACACGTTTTAAGTGCTATGTTACTAAGAAGTAGCATACTATGCAGAAATTACAACGTACATATATGTTATATTTTAGTTTTAAATTAAATCGAAAATTTGAGTAATGTATTGAATGTTTAGGTTGCCTGATTTTAACTTAGTAATTTTAAATGATATTAATTAATTGTGCCGCGTGCACAAAGTGGTGCAATATACTGTCTCTTAGTATAAGGTTTCCTGATTATTTACTAGTAATTTATATTGGTACGTGAATTGTAATATAATGGCAATTGTGAAGGATTGTGTTAAATCACATGTATGAGTGTCTATGTACTCACATTTATCTACGAAAATAGGATAATGAATATGCACTAACTGCAATGAATTAATTATCTTTGAGAAAATGTTCTCTAAACAAAAAGGAAAAGAAATCATAAGCTTAAATTAACTTTGCAAAAAATAATCTAATACTCTGTATACCGCTTATACGGTGAGTATATAACGGATGATTAACATTCCTAATACAGATACAGATAACAGAGCTTTCTAATATTATTCTTACAATCGTACCTTCTTATTTACAAACGCTATTGTATAATATCTTAACTTTTCATTAGGTTATGATTTTCCACGAAGATTGCTTGAAACATTTAAAAATATAAAGTTACATATATGATCTCAAACATAAGATTTAAATGCTTTACGTTCACACTATTGGATTAAATGATTTAAAAGACTTCACGAATCATTATGGAGCTGTAATGGTAAAATCTTGTGAAGTATCGTGGCAAGACAAATAATAAAACAGTTGTATATTATTAAAATTATATATAGAGTGCATATATTCATAAAATTATAAACGACTATATAGTTATGATTACCAGCAACACACTAAAAGGCACATGTACCTTCGTCAAATTCTAAAAAGTAAGTTATGTAGGCAGCTTTTTATTTATAATTGAAAAAAAATAGTTAATATCCAATTCTATAATTTGATAATTTTGTAGAGTTATTCAATAATCTATTAACGATAAATTATTAAATTAAAATTTTCACCTTATTGTTTTGTTTATATTGTCGGTGTAGATTTAATATCGTTTGATTTATGTGATACATATGTTATATATCCTAGTAATGTTAATTTATGCATCGTATTCTATTGTTTTTTTTTATATATTATTTTCTTTTATGTGGAAAGCATACAGAAATAGATTTTTTACGTATTACAGTCATCTAATATTAACATTCAAATCTGTGTACTTTCTACATAAATTTTTATTCAACAAAAATACTATATCAGTTTAAAACAAATAAAACTAATCCAAGCTAGTCAAATAAACGAGCCTGTTACATTCCATAATCATTCGTAAGAATAATTTTTGATTAATGTTAAGCGATACTTGATTTCATTAAAAACAACCTTGACAAAAGCCTAACAACTGTTTTATCTCTATAATACATTAAGTTATTATAAATTATATTTTCATAAAACAGTCATTATTACATTGGGGTAAAATGTCCTTGCGCTTTCTTAGAATTTTTTGCTTTTTCTATGTCAACTGATGGATATTTCTCTTTCAATGCATTGATGTCTAAATTTGGGAATCTTCTGAGCATCATTATAGCTTGATTAAACTCACGACTGAAGGGATAAAAAAATAATTAATCAAATAGATAATTACAGCATATGATGCAAAATATAATAAACATACTTTTTTGCTCTGCGCTTAGTATTCCATAATTTTTCTCTATACAGGCGCAAAAATTTGTGTACTGCAAAACCATGATATCCAAAGTGGTGTTTTTTAAACCATTTCGAGTTCATAAACTTTGGTACAAGATATTCACGCATACGGTAATAAAATTTAAGTCCTATAAAAGATAAAACACTGTAAAATTGATTTTGATAGGAATGAAAGTACAAATGAAAGTTTTGTCATGGTATACCGAGTGCATTATATACAAGTTTTCCTGGACGTTCTCCTGTTTCTCCGGTTTCGAGTAAATGATAAGCTTTATTTCTTTCACGAACAACAGTTTCTAAATTGGTCATACTCATATCAACTTTATCAATGCGTTCAGGATTTGGAAATATTTTATAACTTCTTTTGCATGCTTCTTCCATCGTTAAGAGCATGTTACGCTCTTTAATTAAAACAAACCTGGAATTTCTTTAATTACAATTGCTATTTATTAACATAAATTTGATCGTTCAATAATTAAATTTACCATAACTTGTGAAGATCTTCATTACTTTTTAATCTTAATTCATCTACCCTCCATTCGCGTCCAACTTTGACTATATCTTTACCCCAATTTTTTTGATCATCAAAAAATTCCATTAAATCATATTTTGTCGATGAAGTATGTAAAAATACGCTTGATTGTAAAGGTAACCTATATTAATTAGAAAATATAACAATTGAAATTTATTATAAACAATTAACACCTTATAATTAAATGAGTAAAATATGATCAATATAACCTTCGAAAACACTTAGTGTTGGAAACTAAATTAGTGTTGACGGATAATGATAAATTAGAAATAAGTTTTGTCACATTATTTACACATTTCGAAATTTGCATAATTTTAGTTAAAGATGCCATTTTTAAATTAAATTCTAATTAAATTGTTTACTACAATTGTTTACCCTACATAGATTTAATTTATTTTTTAAGCACGTGGTGGCGCTTTTGTAAAAAGGACAAGCTATCTCAGCTCGTCTTTGATTTGCCAGTGTTTCAGCCAGTCACAGCTCGTCTTCGATCCGCCAGTGTTTTAGCCAATCACAGCTCGTCTACGATTTGCCAGTATTCAGCCAATCCGGAGATAACTTTCATTTGTTTAAGTGGATACGAACTGGTCGTAAGTAAGTAATTTAATATAAATTTTTCTTATTTTTTTATTTAATATTTTGCACAATTTGAGAATAATATTAATAATTAATATAAGTTAATGCGTTGAATAATTATACAGAGATATTTTAATTGCTTTTAGTATATTATTAATATGCAGTTATATCTGTATTTTAAATCCTGAATAATTCTATGCGAAAAAATGGAAAAATGTCTGATTTACTAAAAAATCGTAATAATTATAATATTTATTATCACAAACTATGAGTTAAATCATACAATGTTATTAAACTAATAGGGATTCTTTTATAAATTTTTTTGCTTTTTTTTCTGCGCGTTTGCTTGATATTCAAGGCGTTAATTATTATTATAATACAGAGATACATTTTTTTATTTTATTCGTAATAAAATGTTACCATTAAAAAAAATTTCGCTTGAAAAATTCATATTTAGTTATGATAGAACGAATATTTTCAGAATGATAATTAAATTGACAATTAAATATCAATTTTCTATAATTATAATAAACTTCATATATTCAAAATACATAATTGCATCTTTTAAAAAAATATTATAAGAGATTATTATGCTCGAGGATAAAATTTGTCCGAAATTCGTTAAAAGGCACCTTTAGACAGTGTAAATTCGCTTATAATTAGATAAAAATAATATATTGTCCTTAAAAAACTACTATATATATATACAATCGTGACCTAATAATTATTCATCAGATATGGATATAAAATTTTTCCTTTTTCTTTTTTTTTCGTACTATCTTTTTTTTCAACATTTTCTCATTTTCATTATTATTTAAAATTGAATAGTGCATTCATTTATATAAAACTTCATCGAAAATATACTCTTATGTATACACATATACTATGTGCGCATATCAGTGTGTTGTGTGTTAGAGCAACGATGAAACTACAATCAAACCGTAAACTGCAGAATATTCTTCACAAATTTGGGAATGTACCAAAATGAATATCATTTACAAAATTCAGATTGGAAAGTAAATGATTAAGCAATTTCTTCTTGCATTAGATTTCAAGTAATGTCTGTAGTTTCATCATGGCTACATGAAAAAAACTGATATTATTTGAGAGTGATCTTCGATGTGACTTTCCTTCGACTAAAAAGATCACATACCTCAAAACAATGTCATTGTAATAATTGATCTAACGATAAAAAAAAAAACGAATTCTTAAACATTAACAAGATATACCGCATGCTGCTAAAATCACATAAATGCTCGACACTCAGGCTAAGTTACCTGTCTTTGATCTTCACCATCTTCTTCTTAGAGTATTATGATCACTCTTTTATACATTTCATCCTAATGATTAACAAGTATAGTAAACGCTTTTGTTAAAGGTCTTGTGCGATAATAAAATTGGTCATTTTCAAAGTATATGTGACAATGTTACTCGCAAGACATTTAACTTTTGTAATAATACGTTTAATTTACATTGCGTTTAAACTTGATGCAATGTAATAAAGAAAATGCGTGTCACTAATGTGTTCTGATTGTTGCTTCTGAGTCCATCAAATGCGAGTTCGAGCTCATTGATTCTTGGTTTTATTACAAAATAGTTTATATAAGTAACTCATAGATTTCATTCATTGATGCCTCTTGTAGGAATGATATAATTTTCAGCATTCTCTTCCTCAAGGATCACATCGTTTGCTTGCAAGTTGACATGGTCAAAACATCTGAATGTAGTAATCAATGATAAAATATATTTATATGTATAGATCTACGTACACTTGATCTTAACTTGTATTATTGCAAATTTTGCTGGAAGGAAATGCTTCTCATTGTCCAAGCAAACGTTTTATAGATGGGTATGTACTTTTGTTGTGTCTGGTGTTTGCAGTAGTATACAATTAGTAGGAAGTTTGGTCCAACAGTTCTGTATTCCTTAACTTCTGTTTACTTTCTCATATATTGCCTATGTGTGATCACATATGGATTGTTGCAGCAGTGTAACGTGCTTCCCCTCTTCGCCAGCTCCACTGACTTGGACGGTACTAAAAGATTACCAAACGTTTTACTTTTAAGCTCAAATAGTAGACAATAAGATTATCAATATTCACTCTTTGTAATTAGGAACAATAATCCATTTAAAAATGTAGAACGTTAGAGATTTTTCATTTAATTAACAATCAATTTCTTTTTCTATATTAACAAAAAATTTACCCTGATCAACATTTGTCCAGATGCACTGTGAGGATTACGATATGCATAGGCAACCCATCCTCCTAAACCAGCAATCAGAGTGACCATAAGGAGAATCCCAATTATACCTGACACACTCATGTTCATATTTTCTCGAGCTGCAAAAGACATTTATTGTAAGTCTTCCAAAGATTAATTAATTAGAATCTTATCTAAATAATTAAAGGAATTAGGAATTAACAAGGTCTAACTGTTTCTAAACTCACTATGTTCTAAAGGACTGTTTCCTGGACTTTTCTTCTTCACAATAGATTTACTTATGTTAGCATCTTCTTCCGTATGCACGTGTCCATCGTGATCATGTCCTTCTTCTTGTTCCTTGTAAACAGTCGTAGATGGTGGACATTTGTCCACTTCTTTAATATGTCTAATGTCACAACCTTTCAATAGCCAGTTTTGTCGTGATCTGAATGTACCAGTACTACACTGATTTAATTCGGAACACCATTTGCAATCAAAATCTGTTAACTTTGTTATGCAATCGTGGCAGTTATCCATTTCCAAGCAAGTGGGTAATGCACGTAAATAAATGACCGTCCAATTTTTAATGTCTTGTCTGTTGAAATTGACACGATGGTATTCGTAGATCGTTTTTCGACGAACAACTGTTAGAACAAAGGATAAATAATATTAGATTTCTAATTTATTTTTGTATTGTTTTTTAGTTTTTGAACGAAGAAAATAAAGAAGAAAAACAAAAGGAACGAGAGAAGAGGATGGACTATGTTCCAGTAATCTTATAGGACGTTTTTAGAACTGGCAACCAGCCAATCTTTATATGTTAGGCTAAAATTAAACAGTACCAGGTGGAGATTGAGATCATACTCAAGTAAGTCTGCGACATGTCTAGAGCGACTGATGAAAGAACGAAAGGCTTTTGTCTGTGAAAAGAGACAAGAAAAAAGAACAAATATAAGACTTACAGAATACTGTCCTGTCCATAATGTAGGCATCACTGAGTCCAACCTTTACAGGATGTGTAGTGTCTTCTATTTGTTCTACTATGAAAGGAATAACGGAATAGACGAAAACGATGTCACCGTTTTGATGCAGAGTTACCTGAAAAGTGAATGAACCGTCTGATTGCTTCTCCTGCAGATAAACTTTTTCCCATTCGACCGTAAATGAAACACCTAGAAATATTTTTAATACTTAGATAATATTTAAGAATAATAGGGAAGATAGGAATAAGAGTATAGACATATTATATCATTTTAATGATGAGTTTTGTATTGCTTACCATTATCGGCATATTTAACGAAGCTTTCATTGGAAAGTCTTGTGTCGAAATTCGCCATAAGTGGTGCAATGTATTGAGTGGCAGCTAGCCAACTATGTACATACTCTCCAGTATATAAAAAGCCACCCGTTGCAATGGTGATATTACGAACCTTGTGACCATAGAACGGGAAGTCGAATTTCAATTTGACGGTCTAAACAAAAATGAGATAGACATGTATTTTATTTATTAACATTAATTGCTTTGTTATAAGAAGAGAGAAGACAATTTTCTTACTGCTGCACGGCGGTGACTTTGGCTAAGCAAATGATTAACACGAAGATCAGGATGGTTATCCATGTCAACCCAATATGATTTTGCAAATTTTTCGTCGATGATGAATGAGCTGTTGTAATATTGATGTGTATCCGTCTCGGTCTTTGTGATGTTGTTTTGCGTGAGTAACTTATTAAATGAATTCATATCAGAAAACTTGGTGATGGATATGTCACCTATGTCTGTATCTGACTGTTCTTTTTCATTACTATTGTCCTTTGCAGTGGTAGACTCTGAAACCTCTGGAACCTTTTTGTTTTGATCGTTGTTGACTGCTTCGCTAACATAGCCTCCTTCATTAATATCCGATTCCTCAGTGGTGTCACCAGACATTGATCGTTGCTGTGAAGCACTTCCAGTTACCTTAAAAAGGATTACTCAAGATTAACGAACATAGAAGGGTTTGTAACTCACATTAATGAAACGAATGTAATTCCTTTTAATAGAAAATTAAGAATACTATTCTCTTTTAGGAGAAAAGAGCTCAGGAGATATACTAAACGTACTGGATTCATTGGCTGAGATACAACGACTGAGTTCTTCTTCGATGTAACTTCAGATTTTTGTGTAGAAACCATTATGCTTGGAGTGGTGGTAGAAACTGCTTCGTGAATCTCTGGTGGTCCACTAATCGTCGAATAAGAACTATTATCTGATTGTGAGTTTGATGTTGCATTAGCAAACTTTTGTTGTTGTTGTTGTTGTTCCTGTTGTTGTTTCAGGTTTTGTTGAAGCGTCAACTGTGGATGCAGATTTATCTGATGATTAATAGAAGTTTGTTCTGACCCTTGCTGCTGCTGTTGTTGCTGTTGCTGTTCCTGTTGCTCCTTGTCGTCAGCTAGTTCAGCTTGAGGTTCTCTATCAGAGTTTATCTTGTCTTTACTGATAGCCTTTCGACGTTCTCTATGGAGTAGTTCTCCTTCAGGAATGATGGATATATACGGGGATTTATAGTCGATCGATGATTTCGCGTTTGACATGATTCCATAATAGCCATAGTGTTCATAATCTGTAAAAAATGAATAACAATCGAATGAAGTATATAGAGTATTAAGCGTTAACATAAAAACGACCCAGTGTCTAAAATGTAGAGTCGGAATCAGGTCGAATAGATTTAATTGATGGATTAGACAGGACTAGCTTTTAATTCGTATTCTGTTTGCGTGCCTATACGGGCACGACCAATTCAGTATTATTAATTCGTATGCCGAGGACGAGTTAACGCGTAAGGGCAATTTATTCTTCACCGATGAATCACGTCGATCGTATATGTACTCATTTATCTTTAATACTGACGAACTAAACATCCTTGCATTCCCTAAGTATTTATTCAGAGTTCAGTGAATTTAACTTACCAAAAAATTTCATTTATATTTAGTTCGTTACTTATAAGAATTGAATTAAGTAACAGATTTCTATTAAGTAAACAGTTTGTAATTTTTCAAGTAACATAATGTATGATATATCGACATATACATCGAATTTAGTAAGCAGGGCAAACGATCAACCGGATAAGGCAATGATTGGCGTTACAACGGATCACCATGATACCAGCTGACGTCGGGAATAAAATATACGAAGCCGATGTCTTTTTTTATCATCATTACATGTATCTTACAGTCGTTAACTTCTTGTTTTAGGATTAAAATACGCGAACGTTTGATCAAATAAGAAAGATCTCGATTTTGTTCGAGCATAAAAGAGAAGGAAATTCGTTAGTGACACATCGAAAATATGTATAGGTGAAAATCCATGACGCGCATCTGTCGGCGACAACTATAATAATTTCCTCAACATGATTCACGTCCAACCTGTTGACTATTAATGGTCGAGGGAAGTATAGAATTGTTTTGAATATGACGATACCAACTTGTCAATATTTTATTTATTACATATTACTAAATATTATGCACAAAGTTATCCAACAACTATTGCACACTTCAAAAATTAAATTTATTTTCCTATATATAAACAAATTATGTTTCTTATTCTTTAACAGGAAGATAGAATAAAAAGGAAAAAGAATTTTGACACGTATCATACATGCAGCCTTGAATTATCGAGAAAAAGAAAGAAAATGTTTAAATATCTTTGTCTCACATCAGTGCTAATGGAATTAAATGCCGCGACGATATTTCCCTTGCAAATACGAAGATTAGTCTATACTTGTCAAGGATGAATACTGGAAATCACTCATGCAATTGTGGACATTCTATTTGGTAAATTAATTCGAATTATTCGGATAATTCCGCACTTTTTTTTATTACGAAGTAACTCGAACGATAAAACAGATTCCTTCTTTTGCGTCGTTCCACTTAATTGCTAGATATAATCATATAAAAAACAAACTATTCAAATTTAATCACAGAATAATAATTAATCTTTTCCTATTTTCTTTTTTCTTTCCTAGGAAAAATAGAAAAATGTTAGAATAAAAAAAAAGCGAGAGCATAAAACGAATGTCCTCCGGGTAATAATTTCTTTTAACATATTCGGTATACGCAACGACGACCTCGTTCTATATACTTTTAAGGAAGTTTTTATCGACGAGTGTCCTTTGCATTAAATTATGCATGACATTTTAATCTTACGCTATTAACGAGTATAGTTTAATCTTGTTTTTGAAGTGAAAGAGAAGAGAACTTTTTTTTACTGTAGTGCCAAGAGTTTATCGGTGAAAAATATAATGAATTAAAAATGTATAGCGATTAATTATTATTTTTATAAATAATCGAGATTTATTTCATATACAATTTGATATTATATAATTAATCATTGCTTTATTGATACAAACAGAATTTTGATATAAAACATCTATGATCAAACCGTTGTAAAAGATTTCTTCTGTTCAGGATACACCTACGTATCTTCTCTCTCTTTCATATTCTCCATGGAACACTATTTGACCGGAAATGGTGTGGCAATGTCAATGTTACTTGTATAATTAGTATTAAGATACGCATGCGTAGATACGAACTATACAGAATCCACGATCGAATTGTCATCGCTTCAGTTAAATTATTTCAAAGCGATCTCAATGATTTATTTTATTAAAAATGATTAAAAATATTGGAAACCAAGTAACATACTCGAGTCACGGTCGTTTAATTTTTTTCCTATAATCGCTGAAAGTCAAATAAAAAGTGACTTGGCAAATCGATTGTTGGAAAGATTAAAAACTGCATACATAGATCATTAGTTCTATAATTGAAATAATGGGGAGAGATATTACTTATAAATAATCGAACGACTCGAGTTCCAGGATTTGTTAGAGAAAATCAATATTATTTATGGAATATTATTAATTATTTTATATTTGTTTAAGAGCAAATTTTGTATTTCATTTAATGATCGTTTTATAGCATCCTCAATTTATCATTTATCTTTTGAAAAGAAAATCCAACGAGACGCTTATCATCTCTCAAATAAAAACCATTTCCGTCAGAAGTTCTTTTCATGTCTTTCTTTTTTTATTTGCAACTCTTTCTTTTCACTTATTTCTTGGAGATACGTTCCCTCAGTGTTTCCATCGAGTTACTCTCTCTCAACGTTCGGATTTTTCAACATCTTTGCGTTATCTTCGATCGCGTAGCAAAGCAAAACATAATTAGTATCCACACGCGAGATCTCGTGTTATCTGTGTAGTTCTACCTACGACAAATATCTTCTCATCATTTTGCGTCTTTTCCATTGCGATAAATTCAATAGGATTATTTACAAATCGTAAAAAAATATTTTCTACACGATTTTATATGATAGATCGAGATTAAAAATAATCTTAATTTTATTTCAGGTTCACGGTGGAAGAGAAAAACCGAGAGAACAAAAATAGAACATCAAAGATATCTCTGTACTTTTGTAATCGTTGTAAAATCTTCAAGAGGATCTTGGCTATTCCAAGTAGAAGAAAAGGAAAATGTAAGGAACGACAGAGTTCGTGATTCGCACGAAAGATTCTTCTCCGTGTCTGGAAGAGAAACGTCGACGGCATAAAGAATCGATTCTTCGGAGTCCAGCGACCCTTTAGCTTCGTCCGCAAATCGAAAACGTCGTTGACCATTGAATGCGTCTGGGATGCATCTGTATATGCATTGTATCTGTGTATATTGATGACATCTACAGGGTGTTCTCATTCAACATCCCAAAAAGTATTGTAATAAATTAATACATTGTTTCTTTTTTCATTTACAAATTGTACGATAACATTTGAGTCATCTATTTCGTTGATAATAATTAAGAAAAAGAGAAAGGGAGAAATTAAGGATAAAGATTATATATCTTGTAGAATTTACAAGTCGTGTTCACTTCAAGGTTTCTCGAGATCTTGAACGAAGTCGGGATGAGCGTAGGTCGTCGCCGAAGAAACGAAATAAAAATTCCATAAGTTTATAGAGAAGAAGAAGAAGACGACGATGAGGGGGAAGTAAAGTAGGAGGAGTAGGCGCCGCTGGGTAATCGACCGATCGAGTTTGACCGGAGTTGATCGTCGGACGACCTTGGAAAATATCGTCTCTCTCGAAGGTAACTTCATCAAGAAGTCTCCTTTCATCTTCACTTTAGCTTCATCCTTAATACATTCAGAAAATTAATATATTTAAAAAAAACTGATGTTATTTCAAACAGAAAATGAAGAGAAGATACTAGAGTCTAAATTTGGATCTAATTATGACATAAGGATATGCGTGAAGGTATATATTAGGTTGTCCCATAAATTCCTTCCTTTTTTTTTTTAATGCGACTTCAATAGATGATATTTCAATAGCCGGCTCGAAGTCATACATAGTGTGACGCGGAAAGAACTTATGGGACAACTTAATACGTAATAGAATTGATAGATTTTGCCTTGTTTTTTCTAATCAAAAGGTAATAAGAGACATAGGGCAAAGAGTGGGACGACGCGCATAAATCGCACGACTCGGGTGTCTTCTCGCAGGTATAAGAATGCGGGTAACTGCATACGAAGCACGGAACCAGTTTTTAAAACGTGACTCACGATTGTCCCGTATCATACGCGACACCCCGTAAAAATAGCACCGGGGAGAACCCGTTCTTAGGGCTTGTCACAATACAGCTTGTCTCCATTTTCCTTAATATTTTCTATAAACAAAAATCTTTCCTTATACTCATTCTAAAAGAAAAAGGAAAATTGTGAACTATTCCTTTATCTTTTTTTTCTTTTTTCAATCAATGCATACAAGTTGTATATTATTTTCTTGATAAATAATGTGTATGTAAATTCTTTTCTAGGTTCATTTAAAAGCTACAAAGTTCCGACCATTGATTTTACTAGACCGAGTTGGAAAGTTTTGAAAGGAAAGCTTACTTTCTTCTACTACCGTGGCAACATTAACATTATTATGGTACACTTGTGTCACCGGTTAAACGAATAAGATATCAGCAAGAGGATGAGGATATTACATAAACTTCTCTCTATCGCATCCGGAAATACAAACTGATATGTATCCTGTTCCTCTATATGCATTTCAAGAACTTGTATGTCATCATCTGATTCCAGAAGAAGAAAACGGATAGATAAGGTTCTTTTTTATTATAAAAATATTAACTATTGCATATGTGATATATTTTTCAAGTCCTTCAAATCCTTTTGTAAATCAATAATCATAAACGATCAACGATATAGATCAACGATATAGATCAACGATATAGATCAACGATGGTTTAAAAGAAAAAAAAGGTATCACACGTGTTATTAGTGCAATATCTTCGCATAATTATCGCGAGAATAATGAAGTCCCTTCGCCGGAAAGGAACGTCGTCGTCCATACATTCTGACCCGATTCTCTTACATTCTCCGAGGTACCATTACACAATTAGAGATAACAACGGATCGTGGGACCGAACGAAGTCGAAACGATGCAGTTAGTTCCGATCGTAAACGTCACACCGATATTTCACGATCTCTCTTCTTATTGTTACCTTTGTTTTTCACTCTCTACGAATCATGACGTTTATCGTGCCTAAATCTACGATCAGGATATTGTTTTTTAATTTTTTTACTGACGAAAATAAAGTTCTTAATTCGCAGAATCTGTTCTGTTTTATTCTACGATCAAATATGATAGAAATATGCGATAACATATGTGACGTAGTAATTATTAATCTTTGACCGGTGTTTATAAATGAAAAAGACTTTTCTAAGTAGTTTTATGCGTAAATATGTTTATCTATGCATCGGTCGGTGATCCGTTTCCTTTTTCTAGCATTTTCTAGCATTTTCTAGCATAAGATTGGCGTTTTAAGCAAGTGACACGTCACAAGCTTGCTCGACCCGTTTTGTGGAATTTCGTTTATTGCCAGATGTCGCGGAGACATATAATTCACGAGTTTAAATGACAGATAATTGCTATGTATCTCTCTCAACGCTCTTAACGAAAGAAACATAACAAAAGAAGTAACTGGCTCAAACGTTATAGTTTCCTCGAAAAAGTACCCTTTCGAAATTTCATTTGAATTCCGCGGGAAATTATGACGTCGAGACAGACAAGATTTTTATTGGTCAATACAAATAATGAGTTCTGATTGGTCAAAACAAATCATGCATTCTGATTGGTTAATACAAAAATGATAATTTCGATAATTATCGATCAATTTAAATTCAAAATCATTACAACGCGATTTATCTTGTTTCTAAATCGTATTTTCAATTGTTTAATAATAGTGTTGTTAAAAAAATTGATTGTGAGACGTAATTAGAAAAAGAGAGAGAAAAAGAAGGAGAATATTATGTACATAGCTGGAGGGTTTAATCCTGTTGCGTTGGTCGCACGAGCCACTCAAGAATCTTACGTCTGGCGCCAAGCTTGATCATGGAAAATGGTAGGAGAAGATGGAGAAGGAAAAAACAAGAAAGAAGAAATAAACGACATCTCGAAAAAAGGATACTTTCCTTCTCCTTCTTTCTCTCTCTCTTATACAAGTTCAGTTCTCTTATAAGTCTCAACGAAGGAGAAGAAGAAGAAAAAGATAAAAAGGATTGCGTATAACACTGTACGCGTATACCCTATACACTCCATTAATCATTTTTTTTCTCTATTTAAGATACGTTCATTAAAAATTCTCGTAAGATCGAGGAAGCTGCTAAAGAAGATGATTACGTCAATAAAACATTAAAGATTACTCGTTTTTTTCAGACAAAACAATGACTCGTGTAAATCCTTGTCTATTCTATCTGTGTTCGTACACCTAACATACGTGCACGTATATATATATACACAAAGTTATATTATTAGAACGAAACGCACGTGTCTCACGTTCATTTTCTTCTAAAAGGCACGGCGACATTGCAATACGTTGCCGTTGACGAACACGATCACTCTTGTGCATATGAAGAGCCATTTAAACGACAATGCGACGATGAAGTACAATTGCGTTCTCTCGTTCGAGAGGGTAACCCCTAGAGCAATATACATAAGCTTCATAATAACCATTTTTCCTCTCTCAATTTAAGCTCAATTATTTATCGAGCATATTCGATAGGAAATCTTTGTCAAATCTAATTGAAATTTGTATTATTATTATTAGTCATGTAAACCATTGTTTTTTTGATAGAACAAATATGTAATATTAATAGTTAGACTTTAAAGATATAAAATATGTTGTAATAAGCATTGTAACTTTTGCTTTAGCAATGAAAATCTTCAATGAACACTGTCGAAATACTAACGGCAAAGGGAAGTAACGTTATGTACGCTTTCCCTTCCGCGATACCGCTTTTGTATGATCCCTGGAGAAATCGTTCCGATTTACAGTACTAAGGTCGACTTCTCACTCAAGAATAAGAAGAGAAAAAGAAACAAATGACTATTGTGTGTGCGTGTGTGTTTTACTTATTTTAATTATTAAAATAAAAAATTATATAAAATATATATATATATCGTTTAGACGACGAAGAAGATTGTACGAGCGATATAAATATATTATAACTTATGGTTTCGTATTTAAACTTTGTAAATGGAGCTATCGAAGTGACACCTAAATAACTTCGATACTACTGTGTACATAATCGAAAATTTATAATTTGACATGTACGTTATATTCGACGGGATGAACAAAATTAGAATTTGCTTATGGCTTTGAAAGTAACGTTGGCAGGGAGATAATTAATTAGTTTAAAAGCGTGTGAATGATGTACAAAACACACCAACACACATAGGTTGAGCATACAGAAGGGGGATCTGTTAGTCTCGAAAGTATTCTTCAAAAGGCACGATCGGTGACGGTGTCCTGAGCTCGTCGATACGCCACAAGGATTTTCAGGCCAGTGAACAGTATAATGACGCGAGCACGAAACCGTGTAGATACAAAAAAAAACAAAGAGCGAGAGAGAGAGAGAAAGAAAGAAAGAGCGAAATGCATAACTTGAATAATTTTCAAAAAAGATTTACCCACGGAAAGGTAATAATTGTAATAATTAATCTGTTAATTTATAAAGCAAGGTTAATCCAAATGCGTTGATAATCTTCTCATGTCTACTGTCTACGTTATGAATACGTCTTTGTTTTTCTATTATTCTTTCTAATCCGATGTACCTAATTCTGAGAAGAAGAAAGGAAAAAAACTGGTTATTCTAGACCACTGCAGTCTGTAACTCAATATTATTTAGCGTTATTATCTTTTCTCGAATAGTTTTGAGGAAAAAATATTTAGTTCTAAGACACTCGCGTGTTCAATTTTCCCTTTCGTTTTTGATGGAACTTTTTTTTAAATTAATATCATATTTTAATGACAAACACGCGTATAGATAAAATTCTCTAATTAATGTCGAAGTTGTGTTAGAGTTTTCCTCTCTATTGGCGTTTAATTTATTAAACGTTAAATCGATTTTGTTACTTCGAAGAAGTACGATTTATTACCAAACTTACCAAAAGCGATTACATTTTTTGCGTAATGCGTATACGATTGCGAAGAATTTTGTAGATAAATGCAAGGTCGTATTGCATACTTTATAATATTAAATGTTTGTAAAGATGGTTGCTACATCTTTTGTATTTGCTTTTCTGTTTTTTTATCTTTCCTGTATTTAAAAACGTAAAAGTTAAGTGTCAATTTCATGGACAGAAAAAAGAGAGAAGATAAACCTCGGCTATATCTTCGCGGTTGAATTTCTCTATCGTAGAAAGCTACGATGATAACTGAACGTTCTTTTCTTCTTTTAACAAAACACTTACAAACTAACACGTTGGAGGAAACTCGATCGATCATTCGTTATAGTCCCATTGCTTCGTTTTAAAACCACGATATTGACCTACTCATGTGAACGAAAGATAATTTCTCTTTCTTATATTTTTATTTCTTTTTTTTTTTCAGATGCTGTACCAAGAAAAATAATCTAAATGGCTATCGTACAGACAGATGTCTTAAACAACGCTATATAATAATTATAAGCGAACAGTTTGATTAATAATTACATCATCAATGTAATAAGATACTTGAATCATCCAGATTCAATTATTCAAGAAGCATAAATCATCGTGATCGTGATCATCATCTTATCCACTGGTCAATCTTATTATTATTGCACTTTTTATTATATATTATATACATAAATTTGAATGATAAATATATATACATATATATATATATATTTTTAATAATGATGATTGTAGAATAGAAGATAAAGAAAAAACAACAACAACAACACATGCAGCTAATTGTAGAAAAAAGGAGAAACGGAAGGGATTGTATTATTGGTCGACGAGCTTCCGGTTTGAAGCCCTCTCTCTACGCGGAGACCATTCTAAGCATTTGCTTGGCCTCCTCCGTTACACCTACGCACGTGTGAGTACGTTTTAAACATGCGCATCTATATGTATATATATAAATACATATGTCCTGTGTATGCATATGATATAGTTATGTATATATGCACATAGATAAGTCCAACGTATATTTTTACAACGCTTTACACGCGTGTGCTTACGAGCATGTACCGAGAGAGAAGCTCGAGTTCATCGAACTCGTTGCATTTTCGCGCTTCGAGCATAGTTTATATATTCTCTCATCCAATTCCTCGAAAATCTATTAATCTTTTTATCTTTTTCGAAGAAATTCAATGATTTTAATTGATTGTATTTATCCTAGATTCGAAAGAGAACGTACGAATTTAAAATAAAATAATTATGATATATTTTTCTGCAGATTTTTTACGACTGATAAATACTAAAAAAAACGTTCGATGTATCTGTGCAGATAAAAAGACTTCGTTTACAAATCAAAGTAAACAGTATCGTCATTGGGAGAAGTAAAACATTCACTTACGAAGAAGCGTGTCATGTATACGAATGTTATTATGTACGAGCTGCTTGTAAGACGTGGAAGAACGCACGCGTAGAAAACGAATTTCGTACACCTGGTCGTATTAGAAGATATTCGATAAACGTATTTAGATAAGAAACAAGTGATTTACAAAGCAAGTGATGACATAGAAAGAAAATCAACGTTCGTTTAGGAAAAAGCCGTGGCTCATTTAAAAACATTGTTTATCAGCTTGCTAGACTTAGAAAAAGAAGGCAAAAGAAGAAGAAGAAGCAATCGAATATAATCATTCGAGAAACGTTTCGTTCGCATCAGCTTAATGACCGTATAAAGGGTGCTACGTGCGTGTTTGTTATCTGGCTGCACCCTTTTCCTCTTCGAAATTTGTCTCGCTCGTCTTTGTCGCATACGTCTACCATACTGACTAGTCCCGTTTTATTTAAGTTTTTTTTGTCTTTCGTTGCTCGTATACTATGGCTCTACATATGACATACATATACGCATATATACGTCTGTTATTTTAGGAGCAGAAGCTCAAGTAAACTTCGAACTTTTTTTTCTAACAAAGTTTAGAAATCATCTTTTTCCTTGCAAGTATAGATTATATATTTGTCGGATTAGAATTAAACTATAGATTGATAAAAATTGTTTAGAAAATCAAGGGTCATTTAATTATGTCGTAAATGATATTGCAAGTTGTTATTTTTATGTAGAAAAATGGGAAAGTTTGCAAACATACGTCGCGGTATGCATGTAACAGGTGTAGAGTATGTATGTATCTATGTAATACAATAGCTATAGATTACAGAGAACGGTAGACGTTCTACGCACGAAGCAGAAGCCAACACGCGAGTAAAGCTTGAAATTGTTTGTTGTATTTATGATTTACATAGAGATAAGCGGATATCGGGTGAACGTTTCTATCTAAGAAGGGGTTAACTCTTCATAGATAATAATTATAATAACGTTAATATATGTACAATATATATTATATAATCGTTTGAGTTTTTTCATTTTTTTTTATTTCTTGTTATTTACGTAATTTGCAATTAGAACGTTATATATCGCATTGGGTTAAATGTAAATAGTCGAAACGTTTATTGTTACTTTTATCTTCGCGATAACACCAATAATTGTTCTTTTTTCTGAACAAAATACATAATAATTTGTAAGTACGTATTTGTACAATACACATGTGCGTAAGCACATAAAACGGTAGACACATGTCGTTGAATTTAAACATATTGCGCATTTTTTTTGTATTTCTTCATTTCTTTTCTTCTTCAAAGGAAGTGGAAAAAACCGAGTAATTATTTAAATGAATACGATAAAAAAATAACTTCCAAGAATATCAACGAGTGTGGCCTTAAACTTCCTGATGACTTCAAAAATTAAAAAAAAAAAATACATTTTTCTTTAAATCGTGCGAGTTTAATTTTAAGTTTAGATTCGTAGTAATAATTCTAGATTCAAATGTAGCATGTAAATATAGATGTATACAGAGACGTGTGTATAAGTAAGCAGTAGAAACGCAAAACATTTAGTACGTAGGACGAGTGGCCACTCGTTGAACTTTTTCAGTCGTTCACTTGTAAGTTCTCTTACAGTCTTGAATCATAATGATCGCGTTGACGGCAGGAAAAGCACTCGAACTCGATGCTTCTCTCACCATTCCGAAGATTGTTATTAAGAAGAACCCTTGTCTATATTCCTACACCATATGTGAGCAAGATTGTTCACAGAAACGAAAGGGAGAAAGAAAAAAAACGATTCGTAGAAGTTTCACAGAACTTTTCTCTTCTTTTTTAATTATTTTTTTTATTAGGAAGAAGACGGTGGCTATGATTTCTCGTCAGCTTTGTAATGTACAACGTGTATATGTCTCTACGTATAGCCACTGGTAGCAATAAAAAAAAAAAATGAGGACAAAGTATAGTGGAAATAGATTCGCAGTAACATAAAATGCGGTCAGGTAAAAATGTATTCTAACATCTACTTGAGTATAGGCCGTCAAAGGAAAAGTTTTATTGTTTGCATTATATAGATTCTATAGTTCTTCGCAATTTATAAAAATATGCGACTATGTAAATTGCCTCGTTTTTGAATTTTGAATATCGCGCCGTTTCGTTTATTTTCAAAATGGTTGTCGTCCCGAATGTGTAGTCACAACAGCGGGAATTTTTAAATTAATAATTGTGTTTGTTTTCTTATAGAAGTGATTAGTGATGTTGAATTAGGGTTTCATAAGCATACTAGGATTAAATGATTGTCAAATCTATATTAGTCACCCGTTATATTAGCACGAACATCGTAAGTAACTTATACAACTAACGATTGTATCGAAGGAATTATATACGCTCGTTCGTGAAACAAGTGGTTTGAGAAGGACAGTGAGAGGATAACAAAAAGTATAAAAGAAATAGAAAGATATAGAAAGATATTTGTGCGTAGTTAGGAAGTTGATCTTATAATAAATATTTGTTTGCAATGAAATACAATCTAAATCATCGAAATACGAAACTTGCGCATCATACCAAAATTCATTAGTATACGAATATCGATTAATCTTTAGATCGATTGTATATTTTAATGAATCGAGGAAAATGTATGAAAATGTCGTGGGACAAAATAATCAAGCGTTTAGGGGGACCCTTGCGTAACACGCTTGTCGTGCTGCACGACGATGCATATATCTCATTTTATGATCTTCTTAAACGAGCCGCTTACATTCTCAAGATTGTAATTCTTGCACATAAATCTTTATTTTCTCTCTCTTTCCTTTAATCTTATAAATCATTTATTAGTTTGGAACGTGACCCAAGAATAATTCTATAAATTTTCCTAAATGTATGTAATAAATAATTTGAAAATATTTCAAATTATCGATTATTCGATACTATCGAAATATTATCTATGAATAGTAGCCAATCAGCGTGGGATCCTGGTCACCGTGATTGACCAATAAAAATTCATAAATGGCCTGAGATTTGGACCAATCAGAGTCAGTCAAGAAAAAATCATCAAGGGTTGAAGGTACAAACGCGTTCTTGCATATTTTATAAAATAATTGTGAAAAAAAATGTTTTCTATAACTAAAATACCACAAGTTTACTCTATAAGTGTTCAAACTAAGATTATATACGTTTCAGAGAAAAAACTAAAGGAATATGAAGAAAGAATAAGAAAATAAGGTACCGAACAAACGAATTCGAAGGACGAGAAAGACGTTGGAGGATTCAGGCGCGAAATTCAAAAATCTAGAAGAAATGTTCTCACAATGAGAAAAGGTTTGTATATGTTTAAAAGATTAGAAAAAGATTTAACGTAAGAGGGCTAGAAACAAAGGTGAATCTGTAATCTCGAGGTTAAAATAGTGTTTGAAATGAGAAGGAGTTGAGACTCGATGGAATTGCGTAGTAGCCTGCGTAGGAAGAGGCGTTTCTTGCTCGTTCAACAGGCTAACTTTTCCCTTCCCCCTCTATTTATCTCTCTCTCTTTCTTTTTTTCTTTCTTTTTCGTTCTCTTCGTCTTCGTCGCGTCAGCAAACTCGCTATCCTTCTTACCCGACCTCGCGACTGTATTTCTATCTTTCTCTTTCTTTGAAGTTGTTCGTAGCGGACAACCTTCTTCTTCCTTGCTTGCTCGTTCCTCTCCCACTCTTTTCTCTCTTCGTCTCACTCTTTCTCTCTTCCTCTCTCTCTTTCTCTCTGAACTCTTTCATTCTAGCTTTTAAGGGACTTTAGCGCATTGCTGTCCTAAAGGAAAACCCTACCTTTTTATTGTCTTTACAGATAGAAGAATAGAAGAAGGATAAGAAGGTAGAGATGGGCTACTCACCAGACTCGCCAATCGCCAGGGATGACGAGCCACAGCAAAGCAGAACGACCAGGAGTAGTAGTACGTAAGGCCATTGTGAAGGAGAAGAAGAACCGGTCGCCTGATAGTCGCCACGTTCTGAGCACCACCGTTCACACGCCATATTTACAACCTCGCTAAAACTCTCCCGCGCCCAAGGAATTTAGAAATCCCCTGTGCGCGGTTTACGTAGCGCACGGTGCCGTCTACCTCGCGCCTTAGACGAGGAACGTTCAGAGGAAAGGTGGGAACAAGGGGGATACTGAGCGAGAGAGGAAGAGAGAGGCGGATGCTACAGGAGGAGTTGCAAGTGGGAGAGGAGAAAAAAGGAAGAACACGAGTGAGAGAGAAAGAAGGAAGTCTCTCTCTCTTGTAATCTTTTTTAATTGTTAAAAGGATAAGAAAAACACAACTCTCCTCTTCTCTGCAACTTGTTTTCTAATTCCAGAAAACGTAGCTCTCTTTCTCTTGATTCTCTTTTTTTTTTTATCCTCTTGATATCGACAATATAATCCTTATATTATTCCAAGTTTTAGCGCTATTACAATGATATCCTTTTCTCTTTTGTAAAGATTACTTGTTGGAAGCGAGGGCGCACAAGGTACAACAGAGCACTTGTTTGCGAAAGAAGGCACAAATGCTTAAGGAGAGACGCTGAAAGGGGAAGAAGGAACTCGAAGGAACTTTGTCTCGAAGCTTTCAAACCGGTATCAGACGAACAACGATAACGAGTGCCTGCGGCAGGAACGGCATGTCGGCTCTCACTGCCGGTCGTACGATGCCACAACTCTTGGTGAGCTAGCCCTCTCTTTTTCTCTCTTCTCTCCACTTCTCTTCTCGTCAACCTTTTTCTTGCTGCTCTTTCTTTTCTCTTTATCTCTTTCCCCTACCATTTCATACCCTTTTTATTTTTAAAGAAATCTACCTACTTGGGGTAACTTCTTGCGAGTGTCGATAAAACTCGAATTCGATCGATAAAATAATGTAGGTTAATAAGTTCATACAAAAAAATTCTTTTCAATTAATTATTTTGATGCAATCAGGAACCTTTATACTAATATAAAAATACATGTTATTTCTAATCAATTCTGAATTATATAAATTCAAAGGGACTAACACAAATTAATAATATTTAAAAAGCTGATGGTAAAACAGTACGGTAAAGAAGAAATTGATATCGATAAAAAAGAATTTAATGTCGGTAAAGTAGTATTTTCTACTGATGATAAGGAAGGAATTTTTTTGAACGACTAACAAAGAGTGCGCTTCTAACAATATTCTTTCTTCCATACCTCGTTCGAATTTTCAAAGGAGTGATCTCTTTCGCAGGGCAAATCTTCTGAAAAGGAAACATCGTAGATAGAAGAATCAATGGACATAGAAGAACTCGTGGAAGAAACAGGTGTAACTTGTGTAAGATCAGAATTTTTATCGGCTGTAAGTCTTCCAGTACAATGGCGATGCTGATCAAAAACTGCCTGCAAAAAGAAGAAGACACGTAAGATATCTATTTGTTATAAATTCTTTTTTTTTTTAAGTGAAACTTGTTAGACGATGTTAACGATAAAATTTTATGAAACGGCATGAGATAGAACAGTATGTATATTAGAATCAGCTTATTTTAGTTTAAACAATCAAAAATATAAGCATCGATTAATTAACAATTATTATAATGCACTAGTGCACTTTACTTATATTACAGGAAAATTTTACTGTGTTTTTAAACTGCAATATACATTTCCTTTAATTAATTGATTTAGAGTTAAATTCATTTAATATGTTATTTGTAATACTGCAAAATACTAATACTATCAATAATTTTTAAGGAAAAATCTACTAAACGTAACAGCGTACGATTCTAAGGAAAGCATTCATTGTACATACGAACAAGTTTCACTTTTATCGCACGTGAAGGCCACGCATATTTTTTTAATTTGTTTTAAATTAAAACGTACCGTAACATTAATATTTTCTTGAAATGTTCTGTGACACTGTTCTATATTCGCATTCGAAGGAAAGCGAAGGTACTCATTCACCATTTGATTTTGTAAATCTTTCTTTTTTAGCATGTAAGATCTGTCAGATGTTCTTCGAATATATTCGATCTCATCGAGAGCATCGAATGTTGGTGCAAGCATGGAATCACGAATTCTAGCATACTCTTTCTTTTCCTCGATTTCCTCGATATTTTTAACATTAGCATTAAGTTTCCTTTGACGTTCCTGAATAAAAAGACCCCAGGAATGATATCGTTGCGTCATTAGAGACATAATTTGACCATCCATTCCTAATGGTGTTACACCAAGTTGAGCTAAATATTTGCTAATCTCGACCCAAGTTTGTCCAATTTTTAATCGAAAGTAAAGATTAATGCTAGACATTGTGATCTAATACAAAAATGATTATAATTACGATCCTTCGATAGAAATTATTATTTTTTATTATTTTACCTGATCTTCGATAGGTAAAGCATCGAATAGAATCTTGTAATGATTTTTAGCCATCTCGTATTTTTCTCCATACCTTTCGATAATCTGACAAATAGCATAAACCTTAGATCTAGCCGAACCAATCATGTCGATCAATGTAGGACTAACATTGTACGTAAGTTTGCTGTGATAAGTGTCAAACCATTGTTTGACACCCATCTGCGGTAACTCAGGATCTACACAAATGAACAATTGTTAATAAAAATGTATTAGTTTGTCAATGATCGATCGATCATTGAAATTGCACCTTCAACTGTGCCATCTGATCGTCTCTTCACGCCAATTTCTTTCTCTTCTTCTCTCCAAATCTTTGTTAACAAAGACATAAATCCCTTATTTTTGTCCATACCACGCCAAGTGCATAAAAAGTGACCACAAAATATATTTTCACAAATGTCTGATAGCAGACCAAGAAACAAACATCTCACAGGAGCTGAAGTAACTTCGATCACGTCGATTATGGTGTAAACTGTTCCCTTATCGACAAAATTCTTCACGTGTATTGGACATGGTACTATGGAGCCCCAAATATAAGAACCAATTGCTAGTAATAGACTATCATTCATTATTTTTATCTCATTTTTATTCGTAATATTTATTTGATTTAACTTTTGTTAAATCCTACCGTTGGTCTACGTGAAAATCATCGTTTTTTCGATAATAGAAACATCTATCTAACAATTTTCTTATGATTATTATATTTTGGTTTCCGTATAAAAGTCGTAGCTCTGATTCTTTTCGAATTAATTCGTCTGCAGCGATGAGAATGATTGTCATAATCCTTTGATGTTCCATTGTTAATGTATTCATGTGTAAAATACGATCGATAAGATCTAGGAAAAAGTGTTAGAATATTTTTCAGAGTTGCTATTATTTTCTTTGGTATAATATTAAAAATTTGGACACTCACTGAGCAGAGTTAGAATTACTTCTTGTTCACGAAAATCTTTTAACATGACAGGATTCTTGGAAAGAACGATGGAACATATTGCTTTGGTACAATTCATCGTATTTTTCGAATCAAATTCATTCGAGTTCGCGCACCATTTCAAGATTGAAATCAATCTGAAAAGTTCACTTGAAATGAATTAGTATATATGTCCAATTAAAATGTTAAATGTTGAATTACTTTTGAGTTCCATCATTGTTAACAAATTCATCCGACATTTTTGGTGCCAGTACGGTCAAAGTAAATATCGCGTGTTCAAAAAGATGCCAGAATTGAGATGGACTCCAAATAGATTTTGAATTCAAATCAATGAAACGAAGTATTAATGGCAAAACATCTTGCTCGATCATGATCTAAAGAAATCAATTTATTTCTAATATTTTTTTTCTCTCCCAGTAATATTTTTACAATCGTATTAAAGAAAATGATTTACGGGGATAGAGGCATTGATCTCAGTTAAATCATAAACTATCAATAAAAGTATTTTGAAAAATACGAGATTCTCTTTGCTAGCAAGAAATTTGATATCCTTAGACCAGACACGAATTTGTCCAGAAAGACAACCATTGAAAAATGATAGAACATCGTTAGCTATACCACTGCTGATGATGATATAACGTGGAAAAATTTGAAGTATCAGAAGAATAAGCAACGCCATTTCGTTTCGAAGTTTTGCATTCAATTTACAATTCTGACTTTTGTCAACTTGTTTTTTAAATGCATAACGAAGACCCCTGAAATTAAAGATAGAAATTTTACTTGCAATTTTATCGCGTTGGTGTACATAAAAAGGATAAAGAAAGAAAGGGGGGATGATACCACATAGCGCATTGTGTTGGAGGACCAAGATCCTTGAGACCAACTGGTGCTTCTTTGGGAGGTAAAATAGATCTCGTCAGGGTCCATAAGATATTCATTATCAAAGACATTGTATCGTCTGAGTACTCGTCTCCTTCGAAAGGCTCATCTGGTGGGGATTTACAAAACACTTGGGTCGAGTAAGAAAGGTCCATTCTAATCAGCAGGGGATTCAGGATACCTGCTTCCAACATCTTGTGACCTAAGTTTGTAAAAAGTCAGTTCGCAATTAGCTTCTAGTCATTGTTTCTTTTGAAAACTTCAATTAATTTTTATCGACGATTTTTTATATTGTAAAATTTCGTATTAAGAATGATTCCAGACTATGTTCCTTCAAGTTGTGCACATATTTTTTGATTTACGTAGATTAAAAATAAATTAAGACTTTATACTAGATTGTATCCCATAAGTTTCTTCCTTTTTATTGATGAAACTTCAATAGAGGATATTTGTTAATATATATTGAAACCTATACTGAACGTAATATATTGAAACCTTACTTTTGTATAGGAAAATAATGAGGGCGAAACATCGAAGATTTACTTACAAGAAACACAGGATACGGAAGATAATAAGAAGACCAACTCCAAGATGTTAGAATATGCTTCCGGCGAGGAAGTATATTTGAATATTTCGGTTACCCTAAAGGACAGATTCGATCTTTCCATAGCAGTACGACAAAGTTCAGCGTTGACGACGGAAGAATCAGCCGGCGCAGTCCTGATTAATAAAGAACGAAGGGCTTCGTGCACTTTAAGGAGCTCTTGTTCGTTAGGTAAGATTGTTAGTAGATAGCCAAATAATGTAAAATATTGTTCCATTATGTCTAAACAAACGAGACTCTGATAGGTGCTTTCCAAAAGAGGTGGACGATTAGAAAACTCTAGCATCCGATCGAGATGTGAATGATAATCTTCAACGCTATTTGCATTCGTTGCTAAGAATTCTAATACTTTGATTACCTTCGGTAAATGTTTTACCATCTAATTAAAATAATAGGAAAGGGATAATTAAAGAAGGTAAAAATACAACGCAGATTATCGTATATTCATGTATAATTATAACTTATTAATTAATTTTAAATTTCATGTGTTGAAAGGATACGTAAGCCCGATCGCTGAGATATTCCTGATAATCGTACAACAGTCTAGAGATTCGTGATACATCATTTTGAGTTACCGGATCGGATATCAGTTCGTGCAATTTATTTACAACGTAATCCACGTCTATTTCTCGACATTTTTTATTGCCAAATTTGGTGCTATCAGGACAGGGACAATCGATAGTTTTTCGAGAAGAAATGATCTTCCTTTCATCCTGATATTTCTTCTCCTCCATCAAACAGAATCGTTCAGGTAAATGCAGGAGTTACAAATACTGATAATAATAATAAAAAGAATATTATTTGAGAGGCTAACAGCTAAAAGTCAAATCAAGTCAAGTCAATGCTTTTATTTCTATTAGCATCGAAACAAAAGAAAGCCAAGTGCACTTCTCAACAGCCATTGAAATCGGCAGGAGAGAAAAAAATAGCAGGTGGCGCAACGAACAAAATAGGACCTATGTACTCTTGTTGCTCTTGAAAGGAAGAGTATAGTATAGTTGTATATACAAAATCATGCTCTCCTCGTCTCCGTAGAACACATTTGCATTCAGAACGAAACGCTTACTCCTCGCACGAGACGGTCAGGAATTTCAAACGCGTCCCGTTCGATCTTCTTTCCTTTCCTCTCTCTCTCTCTCTTATCTTTCATGAATTTCTCATGATTTATTGTTATTCATTTTCCCAGTAATGATGGTGCTTCCTTGATTAACGTAATTATCGACGCGCGGTTTTTTAAAGAAAAATTCACTGGATCTTAGTGCAGATATTATTCATTGAAATATATGTTCGTATCAATAAATTAAATATATTTCGATGCATCTCATATGTTTTTTAATAATACGTTCATTAACTTAGATAGCAAAGGGTTAAATATTTAGATTGAAACTACTTTCTAAAGAATATTATTCGTTTAATAGATCACACATTCTCGTTTCTAACGTTAGAAAGTTAATGATTTTTCATTGCAAAAAAGATTATAATTGATAGTTGTCTTCTATCCTGGTGGTATTGACTAAGTTCTTCATTTTGCAGGATCATCGTATAACCGCTAGACGGCTCCACCTTTACTTGCTCCCCGTATAGCAATGGTTCTCTTGAACATTGCACGTATAGTAGAGAGGTGGTTCGCCTTCAGCAACGTTGAGAGCACCTGGAGGACGCGCGTGTGCCTCGTGCAAGAGACAGTCGAGACGTTAGTACGATCGCGACGCTGTCGTTGGCACAGCCGGCTAATAAAGTGAGTGTGTTTCCTTTTATTTTTTACATTTTTTTAAAAGGACTCGTGCATCCTTGCAAACAGGAGTTCATCGTTCTTTTAAAAAAGTCTCATTTTAACTATAAGAGAAGAGAGTGAAATAATTCATTTGTTTCTTTTCCCCCTTTCCCATTGTCTAAAAAGGTGATCAAAGAAATTAAAGGAAAAATCTTAGAGTGTTTGAAGAAAAGAAGATCTCTTTCTCTCTCTCTTTCTCTTTCTCTTCCTCTCTCTGTCTTTCTGAGGAAAAAAAAAACAAGAAAACAATGTTAGTTTGCGAACCGGTTCTGAGTGAACTCCTCGTACACGTGAATAAAAGGGGTAGAACGTAGCTTCTCTCTTTCTCCGTCACACATACTACATACGTACGCCGAGTATTCAAATTGATTGATCTTTCATGAGTCCTTGGAGTGAAAGTGTGTCTGGATTTTGAAATCGACACTGTGGACGAGCTACTCGAAATATGAAGGATTTAGCAACGGATGACCTTGACGGACCGGTGAGTGACCTTTTTCAACGTCCTCTTTTACTCTTCTTTAATACGTTTTCTTGAACATTATCAGCGTCCCTTTTTCCTCGTCCTTGTACGGTATCTATACCAAAGTAGGGAAAGATTTGTTAGATCTTTACGCTCGCACGCGGCTAAGTTATGCCTATGTTTCCTTCCTTCCTTCCTTTGGATTATACTTGACTTTTCTTTTTCTTCAGAGTTCATTCCAAAAGTTCCCACGAGAAAGACAGGACGCGACTTGCGTGAAATGAAATAAAGAATGAAAGAGGAACATAGAGTTCTAGATGATAATATCGTTTTATTATAACGATTCTCATTTTGATTAAGTTTTCTTTATAATTATTTCTAGTCATTTAAATCGTTGAGAATATTATAATCATCCTGTTTTGTTTTAAATATTTTCTATTGGTTTACATCATGTAGAGACGTTTTCTTCTCTTATGTTATTCCAATTCGACGTCCTCTCTTGGGAGTAACGACTTCTCGAGTGGTCTCAACGCCGACGCTAGTCTCAATCCTCTTCTCTCAACATTTTTATCACTCGAGGGTAGACTTGGAAAATTGATCACGAGCTTGGTAAAAACGTGAGAGAAAACTCATCAATTTTTTATCACTTTTTTCTTGTTGTAAATCTTTCCTATTTCTTATTGATCTCATAAATGATAGTAATTATTTATATTAAAAGGTGCAAAAAGGATCGATCGTAGACTCGTCAGAGTTCTTTTCATCATCATCATCATCATCATCATCATCATCATCATCATCATCATTATTATTATCGTTGTCCATTCATTCTTTGAAAGATACGAAGTATGCTCGAGCATGGACATAGAAATTGCGTCGGTCGATACTCGCAGGAGCAACCAACCACCCACCATTCGTTTATATAAAAGTGGGGGGTGAAATCGAGGGCGAAGAAAATAAAAGAGAACCCGAGGAAGACCGAGAAATACCGATGAGAAGTTCAATAGACTCGAGACCCTTACATGATGGTTCTTTATTTCTTTCTTTTTTTATTTATTTCTTTTTCTCCTCCCCATTTTTGTCCACTCTAATTACTACTCCAATTAGACGTTGCTTATAATCAAAGCTTTCCAACGAAATATCAAGAATCATCTAGAAAACATTTTCTTTTGTTAAAACAATAATTATTACATTACCTAAAAGAAAATTGTTGTAACAATTTGCAGTATAGAGAAAATACCAACATTGATTTTTCTTTTTTTTTTTTCATTTATTTTTAAATTAACAAACAAAAATATAAGAGATTTATTTTTGTTCGTCTATCCCCTCTCTTTCCGACTGGTTAGAAAGATTGATGTATGTAGTAAAAGGGAGAGTAGGAGGGGTTGAAGGAAGACAAGTAGGGGTTGACTCGCCACGCGTTCATTCGCAGCACCAAGCGAATCAATATTTGGAGGGTAGGCGTCCCGACGTGCACCGTCGAAGCTACAGCTTGTGAGTCACTCACCCCTGGCCAGAGAAAAGGGAGAAGAATGACTTCTCTATTCTCTTGTTTCTTTTTTTTCTTTTTTTCTTTTTTGTTCTTCCTTCTTACCCTCCTTTCTTCTCTTCATTCTACTCGAGCTCGATGCGTTCATAAGCGTCACGCGCATACGTTCGAAACTCGAAGGTACTCTTTCGTGGTGAAGCGTAAACCGCTTCAATTCTCGACTCAATTGTTTTCTCTCTCTCTCTCTTTCTCTCTTCTCTTTTTCGTTTCTATTCACTTTTCCTCCCTCGTTAAAAAAGAAAAAAGAGGAGAAGAGTCGTCCCATCGATCGACCCCTAAAAGAGAGGGTAGATTTGTGTTAAGTAAATTCATTTTCCATTTGTATTTCTATTTGTATTAATACAAATTACTCTCTCGGATAATTATTATTTAAAATTATGAAAAGGGAAATGGCTTGTCTGTCGATTTCACGACGTCTTATAAGATCTGCACAAGCCTGCCATTTATAAATTATTGCGAGATCTGCGATAAGTAGGAAGGATAGTTGCTGAACACGGATGCTTGAAAGATGAAGTAATTGAATAAAATAAAATAAGAATATGTATACATGTGCTGGTCTGGCAACATATTGACAGATGAAGATAAGAGTTAACGTGTAATACGATTTTTGTTTATTTCTTTTGTTCGTTTTCACATATATGTTCGATAACTTGATTTATCATTAACTATTGCACAGTTGTCATAATTATTAATCATCAGTTATGGTTGATATTTGATTTTTTTCGATACCGAGTTAGGGAATTTTGATGATTTCACTCGAAGAGGTGTAGAGTTTAATTAAGATATTACGAATTTTCGGATTCCCTGGTTAAGACTCGTAACGATGAAACGTTAATTTACGAGCTTTAAAGGCGTCCCTCGTATGCGTATAACCATGAAATGTATGCATCTAAGTAAACCCGTTTGAGAAAGAGAAAGAGAGGAAAAAAAAAGGAGGAAAAAGAGAGAGAAGATGGAGTCTCTCTCGGTGGGAACAGGTTCCATAAAATTGAACGTTCTTCCGTGAAACCTTTATCCGCGGCAGGCATCTCGTCCATGGTACAGTTGCGACTGATACGGTGTACAGAATGCACACGAGTGCTTTTCAAGTTTCCTTTACAACAAGGAGCATCATTGAACCCTTTGCAAACGTCGTTGAATCCTCGTTGAATCACTTGCTAAAACAATCTATCCAGATCTCATTTATTTATTCAATTTATTTATTTCAAACAAATCCCCTCTCGTATGGATTTTATAATTATCCCTTTCAATTACTTCGTAAATTACACTGTTATTTCATATTTTTATATTGTATATGTTCGTTGATTAATTCTATCCGAGATTAATTGTCTTATTTATTTATTTCTAATAGGTAAAACTGTTAAGAGAGAGGAAAAAAACGAGAGACACATTAGAATTCAAGAAGCCGTTCGATTGCTAAAATGAAATCGAAGAAGAAATAAAAGGAGAGGATAGAAAAAAAAAGGAGGGACAGATATTCGTTAATATCCGTCAGTTTAATTCGATTACCGAAGCCTTATTATTCGGATTACGATGGAATTCAAAAGGGAATTTATTTCTTCTTAGGTCGAGAGACTTTAATCTGTGTGTAGCATATGTTCTATTTGCTCGTTAAAGTCTCTCTATCTTTCTTTCTTTAAGTATTTATATTCAATGTATTAAATTCCTCTTTAGTTAAATATTTTCTTTTTTTTTTCAAATATATATATAGAAGAATTTCAAACGTTCAAAGTTCAATTTAAAATATCGACGTCAATGATAGATAGCAAATAGTTTTTATACTAATTTAAGTTAAAAAGACCGTGTGATTTATTATGACCACTTAGATTTGATTCTAATCTCTTGAAAGAAATTCATAAGAAATAAAGAAAAAGAAGGAGGAAAACCGTTGATTCGCTAGGGTAAAACAGATTTAATGGTCTGATGAGTTTATTTACTCGTTTACTTCACCGTTGGACGCTACGAGCAATTAACGATAAATTGATAAAAGATTATAATGAAATACCATATTTATTCTAACATTTTTTTGTTATCATTGATAGAAAATGTAATATCATCTTGTCTTCAGAGTATATTCTTTAGATATTTTTCTATATAGAAAATACGTTCTTAGGTATAATATCCACAAGTTTTTTATATTTTTCATCTCTTCCTGTAACTCACCGTTAAGGAAGCTACAGTCTGTACTATTGCGTTCCACCTAACGGTTTATATTGTGATCGGACAACGAGCCTTTTCTAACAACTTGGAAATTTGCCTAGAAAAATATGTTCTTTCATTCGTATATATATTAGCATGAGACATCATTCATGGGAAAAGATTTACGGTAATAGCAACAACAACAGTCTTTTAATTCGTAGGATTGTCATCAATCATTTATACGTTCGTTTTAATTAAAATAACAAATAGATAAAAAATATATTAACCCATTACACTTTCGAAAATGATCTCGAGTTTTTGATATAGCTTATGTTAGATATTAAATTGAAATTTGGATAAGAATAAAAATATTTGGCATATTGTAATAGAAGGAGAGAGAGAGAGATAGAAAAAAAACGAGGTTTCATCGTACTCGTAATCATGCAAATGTTCTTCGTCTTGTTCTTCTTCTTCTTCCTTCTTCTTCTTCTTGTTCTTGTTCTTCTTCCTCTTGGCAAGGTGCACGCCTATATCTTTTCGACTTTGATTGTCGTGGCCTTGAGGAAGAAGAGGAGAACCGCGTACACCGGTTATTGTAATAGCTATGCGTAGCCGTCCCTCGCGTGTTCGAGGCAGATGAACGAACAAAAAAGGACGAGGGTTGAAACATAAAAGAAAAAGGAAGAAGAGGAGGAGAAGGCCGACGACGTCCAGACATTACCCAAAACTTCCCTTCCGGCGAATCTACCATGGCGTGCATAGTTTCATTTTTTTTGTATCTTTTTCTTTACCAAGAAGCTTTCAACGTTTCTCCCTAATTTTTGGATCGATTCTTTGTTATCCTAAAATCTTTCTTCTAATCCACCTGGCAACGTTTTAGGAAATAATAAATAGCGTTCATATTTGTATGATAAAAATACACCACTATAGTGATATTTCTTTAGATTATTACTAAGACATTGAGACAATCGTGGATGCGTTATTGCGTGACTGGCAAGATTTCTATAGTCTTCTTGGTTGTTGAATAGCATTAGAGAAAGTAAGAATTATATTAAAGTCTATTATCAATTCGTTGATCTGTGACAAGTGTATTTCTAGCAAGGATTGCCAGATAATTTATTTTCAAACTCCTTCGTATAAGAGAACGAAATTGTTTCTAGTCTAAAAATCACGAGGAATTATTTGTTTTACAATTTAATTTAGAAACAACAGATTAATAGATTAAAATCTAATCCCCTTTCGAAAAATTGGATAGAATAGTTTACTTACTACTTTTCTTTATAAGTTTGTAAAAGAAAAAGTAGAGATCTAATTGATAAATGATGATATTTATGACAACGGTCGATTGGTAACAAGTTACGGGTCAGTTAATACCATTAAAACGTATCCACGCGTTCTAAGAATGAAGTTTACAAAGGTACGTGTTAGGTAATTAGCTTTTACGGCCGTTTGAACTAATTCAAAATCGATTGGACGTAGTCGTTCGAGTTCGAGGAAACCATAGTCAATCGGAATAAAGAGAGAAAAGAGGATGACACCTACGTCTTCAAGTAAAAAAGGGTCAAATTCTCGAAGGGACCTTTTAGGACTCGCAGACTAAGGGTCGAATTGTAAGCTTGATCATCTTCTTCCAAGTCGTTTCGTATGACAAGTATTCGTGATTCTAGACTCATTTTTATGGTTTTATCTATACAGAAAAAAGAAGCCCAATATTATTCGACTAATAGTTAACTAATTTATTTTATTCCTTTTAAAGAAATGTTTCTTTGATTTTAATTCCATAATTATACGCTTTCTCTTTCTCTCTCTATATATATATATATATGATAGCTATTAAAAAAAGATAGATAATTTATTCTTTAGAGAAGAGGCCCTTTTTCGAACAAGGCTACAATCTTCGAAAAGAAAAGAAAAAAAAACAGCAGGCAAAGAGTTAGTCTCGTTGGTTCTTGTTCAGACAACGCAACAACTTTCGAAAGGTTCCTTCGAGATAATTGCTTGGACCGGATTCCACTTGGTATTAAACCATCCTCAGCTTAATTAATAGTTTCACGGGCAGTATAGCGTCAATATATTATAGCATTCTTCGAAATTTTCTTTCGATCATTGAGAAGAATTTGGGAATACTTGTTGGCACCCGTATGACGACAAATATTCGCGTTAAAAATCATTGTTAAGTTATTCAATGTGTAACATCATCTTTCTATATATAACACTATTGCAATTAAACATTGTACTATAAATAGTATAGATAAACGTGTAATCTAAAATACGATCGATAGGAATTAGGATCAATTATGTGTGTTGTAGATGCACGTCGTGTAAAATAACGCGAGAGAATCGACAGAGATAGTGGTGTTGTAGCGGCCGTGAAGAAGAGAAACGAGATGAGACGGCCCTTTACGATTTTCCCTCCCCCCTTCCTCTCCCTCTCCCTGTTTCTCTCTCTTTCCCTTTCCCCCTTTCTTCGTTGGACTCGTCCTTTGGTATATCTTTTTCATTCGTATCTCTCGTTTTGTTCGATCGAGGTAGAGTGCTCCTCGGTCATGTTAGTCTATCGTCTTCTACCTGTTCTCAAGTTGAAAACGTAGGGATTGGTTGGTGCTGGTGGTACATCGGCCATTGGGATTGGAGAGAACCGGATCGTTTATACCCTCCGGGCGAGGTGCATCCAGAACAGACGCGGTCAACTAGCCGAGTGCGAGAATCTTCTTCTTAGGGGACGAATGAGCGTACCCAACCGGACAATAAGATGAACATAAGATGAAAAAACCGACTCGAGTGACTGCTCCTACCGTCCTCGATTCTATTTGCTCGCTCTGTTTGATTATTTTATAGAAACTTTGATCTAGTAGTAGTAGTAGTAGTATTAGTAGTAGTAGTAGTAGTAGATTCTCTTTCTTTATTTCATTTATTTTCTAATAACAGCAGATATGATCTTTGTAGGTAAAGATAATAGTTCATTTTATTTAGATTAGATCCATTTATTAGAAAATTGTTTTGTTGATTGTTATATTGATTTTCTTTTTTAATGGAAATAAAGTAATTTATGTTGGAATAAAGATAGTTAAATAAAAATTGCGTTTCTCTTGGCCCTGTTAGAAGAGGTACTTTGAAAGGTGCAGAGAACTGTAAAACGGAAGCACGTATTCCCACGTTTTTCCTTGGCGGAATCACGTTCTGGGGCGGGTTAAATACTCTCTGTAAAAGAGCAAAGGGGGAAAGATATGACTTGCACGTCGAGAAATTTCTCTGGATAGTTCGGATTAATGAATTTAACGTGATTCTTTCTAGAGGATAAAAGTATGTGGCTTTGGAATTAGGTGAACGGCTTTTCTTGATCTCTCCTATTACATTGGAGACTCGTAACGTGATACCGTAATATTCTGAAATCTGAGAATATCAGAAAAGAATGAACGATATCTATTCTATGTTCAACAACTTCGATGACAATTTTATTCTGTCCTTCGAAAATTTATTCTCTTGATAACTTTCGTCGAGGGGGGAAAATACAAGAAAATATCGTACTCGCATTAGCCTATCTTGATCTCGTGCGAATTTAAAGATGCACCGATTGTTCTGCAAAAGCTGTTGCTCGTAGTTCCTTATTAGGAGTATTAATTAGTAAATTGCAAGGACGTAGTAGGAACGGTTGAAACTATTAAAACGATGGTAGGATACGATATCCGTGCGTGTAAACTTGTATATTCTCACGATTTATATATATATATATAAATGCATACTTTGCAGATTTTCTATACGATCGATTCAAATACATTTTTATCCGTAAAAATGTTCTTCTTACAGTTTGATATAATATGATGCAATGGTATTGTTAAAGAAAGTGAAGAAAAATAATCAATATTTGTTGGAATTATAGATAGTACAAGATGGCAGTACGTTGAACCCGGAAGAAGAAAGAAGAACGTAGGCGAGGATGGGACGGCGGACACCTGGATGAAGATACAAGGTGAAGGCTAGCTTGGTAGAAGTATTAAGAGGGTGTAATGGCAACCTGGAAATGGATTCTGCCTGTGTGTCTGGCGACACTATGGCCACTCGTGGAAGGTTACCTAGCTGTACTATCCTCGAGTACGCCAGTTGGTACTATTGTTTTCGAGGCAGGAGTACCGCAGTTAGGTGGTCGTCGAAAGTACGAAGTTTCCGACGAACGTACAGCATGGTTCGCAAGGAAACTTCTCAAGGTTCATCCACATACTGGTCGAGTGACGTTGGCTAAGCAATTGAGTTGCGAGGGTCTTCAATATCCTCGAATTTTTACCTTCTACGTGGACTCCACGAGTTCGAGATTAGGCAGACCAACCATCGATTATTATAGTTTGCCATTGAGAATATTGATAACTGGTTGTGGGGAAGAAAATCGAGATCTTGCTGCTACCAGAGGATGGATGGCAGAGACCTTGGCCTCTTATGCTATGCCAACTACGGACAGGTAATCGTTCGTTTACTCGTTTTATATTCAATTCGATCTCTCTTTTTAATAAAATAAATGAACCTACAGGTTCATCGAAGTCTGTTTGAGAACCTCGCAACTCGTCGCAGCTCTTAGGGATTTCCTACCACAGACTGCACTGAAAGAATGCGAGACCAGATGGGGTGGTGTCGCGGATCCTCGTTTTTTAATCGAAGGAGCAGGCGGTGATTTAGTCTCGGCCTCAGAACAGTGTCTGGTAGATCCCTTATGGAAGATTTCTGTGTCTATGTATTTGAGGTGTGCTGCGGAGTCTCATTTAGCGGATGCGGAACATCGTTTGAAGATCGTATTCCATCATCAACAACTCGACGATACCGATCTTGGTAGGAGAGTTAGAAGAGAGTTACAAAATCAATCGCCGTATTTCGAGCAGCACCTCTACGTCGCAGCGATCGAAGAAGAAAAGGAACCAGGTACTTACGTGACGTCTCTTCGTGCTAGAGATCCCGAAGGTGGTACAGTACGATATTCCATGAGTCCTATCTTGGATTCTCGTTCTCAAACATTATTGGTACTAGACCCAGTTACTGGCAGAGTAACCACACGTGTTAGATTGGATAGAGAAAACGTCGATGTTCATTACTTCCGAGTATTGGCTGTGGACGACTCGTTTCCACCAAGGACAGGTACCACGACTCTTCAAGTGAACGTATTAGATGCGAACGATCATGCTCCCAGCTTCGAGTGGCCAGAATACGATGCATCGGTTAGAGAAGGTGTATCAGTTGGTTCGACTGTCGCTATAGTAAAAGCAACCGATCAGGATACCGGCAGAAACGCCGAAGTCGAATACTCGATCGTCTCGACAAGCGGCGATGATACAACTGTTCACGCTGAAGATACCTCGACCTTTAGAATCGATCCACGTTCTGGAGTAGTTACTACGAGGATGCCACTCGACAGAGAGAAAACCGAGATCTACACTGTGATACTTTGTGTTTCCGACTTGGCAACCCCACCGTCGATACGTAAAACCTCGAATGCCACTCTGATCGTTCGTGTTCTCGACGACAATGACAATTACCCTCAGTTCACTGAGCGTACATTTTCTGTATCATTACCAGAGGATCTAGATTATACTTCGAATCCGATCGTGGCTAGGATAAGAGCAACAGATGCAGATGCGGGCAATAATGCTGCTGTGAGATACGCAATAATCGGTGGTAACACGCAGAATCCTTTTTCCATCGATAATATGAGTGGGGATGTTATTCTCGTGAAGCCTTTGGATTACGAATCAATGAGGAGTTATAAAATCGTCATAAGAGCTCAAGACGGTGGAACACCACCGAGATCAAACACTACTCAACTCTTGGTTCACGTAAAAGACGTCAATGACAATGCACCCAGATTTTACACCAGTCATTTCCAAGATACAGTTGCTGAGAACGTTCCAATTGGTTATTCAGTACTCAAAGTACAGGCTTACGATGCTGATGAAGGTGTTAATGCACAGATTAAATACGTCATAGCTTCTCGTGACTTCTCCGGCGCATCTACGGAAAATTTTCCCATCACTGTTAATCCCGACACCGGTTGGATCTATACTACTAAACAATTGGATCGTGAATTATTTTCTAGGTAATTATTTTGATCTTGTAGCATCGTAGTAGGGGCTTGGATTGTTCTTATAAAATTGATTTTTTAATTTCCACAGGTATCAATTCACGGTAATCGCTTCAGATTCAGGCGAGGAACCAAAATCCGCAAGTGCCACTGTCATTCTAACAGTTTCTGATGTAAACGACAACGATCCTTACTTCGATCCAAAAAATTATGACGCTGTAGTGTCGGAAGATGATCCACCAGGCACTCCTGTGACATCTGTTACCGCAACAGATCCTGACGAAGATGCAAAGATACATTATGAGATAACTGCAGGCAATACAAGAGGTCGATTTTCGATAGCATTTCAGAACGGACGCGGCTTGATTACAGTGGCTCAACCTTTAGATTACAAACAGGAGAAAAGATTCGTATTGACTGTAACAGCTTCTGACAGTGGTGGAAGAACCGACACTGCTCTGGTCTACGTGAACGTTTCCGATGCAAATAATTTCTCACCAGTTTTTGAAAATGCTCCCTATTCGGTCTCGGTGTTTGAAGATGCACCAATTGGTACGACCGTTTTGGTGGTCAGTGCCACCGATTCCGACGTTGGTAAAAATGCTCAAGTTACTTACAGTCTTGGAACAGACGGAGGTGAACAAGAAGCAGCAGAGTTTACGATCAATGCGCAGACCGGTGCCATTACTACAACTCGAACACTTGATCGTGAAAAAGTTCCAGGCTACGTGTTAACTGTAACGGCTAGAGATGGTGGTGTTCCACCTCTATCTGATACTACAGACATCGAGATATCAGTCACCGACGTTAACGACAATGCGCCAGTGTTCAAAGCTCCTCAATACCAAGGTTCGATACCCGAAGATGTTCTGCTTGGCACGAGTGTGCTCGAAGTCTCTGCTACCGATGAAGATATAGATCTCAATGGCAGGGTAAGATTGTTCGTCTTTATACACACGTAATAAATATCTGTTCTATATTTTAAAATTATATTAATTTGAATTTACCTTAGGTAAGATACGCGTTAGAAGATAACGGAGACGATGCCTTCACGATAGACCCAACCACAGGAATAATAAGAACTTCCAAATCATTAGATCGAGAATCCGTAGCAAGGTACACTCTGAAAGCTGTAGCTGCTGATAGAGGTTCACCATCGTTATCTTCGGTGGTACCAGTCATCGTAAAGATCGAGGACGTCAATGATTCCCCTCCAGCATTTGAAAACGATAAAATCATACTTTACATCGCAGAAAATTCTCCAGTAGGTTCGACCGTGGGCGAGATTTACGCCCACGATCCTGACGAAGGACCCAATGCTGTTGTCACGTATTCTGTTATCGGTGGTGAGGATTCCAAAAGTTTTGCATTGAATGTTAGACCAGGTGGTGATCGTGCAGAACTGGTTACTCTTGAAGAGCTTGATTACGAATCACCAAAGAAGAAATTCGAGTTAGTTGTTCGAGCAGCTTCCTCACCTTTACGATCGGATGCTTTAGTGCAAATTATGGTAACAGATGTCAACGACAATGCACCAGTACTGAAAGATTTTCAAATAATTTTCAATAACTTCAAAGATTTTTTCCCGACCTCTCCAATTGGCAAGATACCGGCTGTAGATGCCGACGTTACCGATAAATTGCTTTACAGTATTCTCGCTGGTAACAATGCCAATCTGATAGATTTGAATAAGATGACAGGCGAAATCCGTCTCTCTCCACAATTAAATACAAATGTACCACGAGTTGCTACGATGGAGGTATCTGTAACTGATGGTGTCAATGAAGCAAAGGCTACCATGACTCTATCAGTACGATTAATCACAGACGAGATGCTCTTGAATTCGATAACAGTCAGACTCGATGATATGACGGTCGAAGCTTTCCTTAGTCCGCTGTTAGGATATTTTTTAGATGGTCTTGCTGCCATTATACCTTGTCCCAGAGAAAACATCTTTTTATTTAGCATTCAGGAGGATGCAAATGTGCAAGGGAAGATATTGAACGTCAGTTTCTCGGCTCGTAAAGTCGAACCAGGTACATCCGAAGAGTTTTACAGTCCGCAATTTCTTCAAGAACGAGTTTATTTAAATCGAGGAATTCTGGCGAGGCTTGCAACTGTCACAGTATTACCCTTCGACGATAATCTTTGCGTAAGGGAACCTTGTCTCAATTTCGAAGAGTGTTTAACTGTATTAAAATTCGGGAATGCTTCTGGTTTCGCTAGCAGCGATACAGTACTCTTTCGACCAATTTATCCAGTTACCACATTCGCGTGCAAATGTGCTAAAGGTTTTACTGGTAGCAGAGAAGCATACTTGTGTGATACAGAAGTGAATTTGTGTTATTCCAATCCCTGCCAGAACGGTGGGACATGTTATCGAAGAGAAGGCGGATACGCTTGTTCTTGTCCATCAGATTATATTGGAGAAAATTGTCAAATTTCATTGGAAAAAAATGCTTGCGAACCAGGCATCTGTAAAGGTGGTTCACAGTGCACCATTAAGAACACAGGAGGATTTACTTGCGAAGGATGTCCGGTAAGAGCTTTAGAAAATGTCACTCCCTTGTGCGAACTGAAAGCTCGTAGTTTTGGACCAGCAACATTTCTTACATTCGCCTCGTTAAAACAACGCCACAGACTTCACGTGAGACTGAGATTTGCCACGGAATCATCCGACGGTCTGCTTCTTTACAATGGTCGTTACAACGAAAAACATGACTTCGTGGCCTTGGAGATAATCGAAACGCACGTACAATTTAGTTTCTCGCTTGGGGATGAGATTACTAGAGCATCGGCTGAAATTCCTGGAGGTGTATCCGACGGACAATGGCACGAAGTCGAAGTATCTTACATTAACAAGACAGTAACAATTTCTTTGGACAATTGTGATGTTGCTTTGGCATTAGAACACGGCGAAAGATTAGGTCCGAAATGGGCTTGTGCCGGAAGAAGCGAGCAAGTACTCGAAGATCGTTGCAGTCTTATCACCGAGACATGTCATCGATTTTTAGATTTAACAGGACCTTTACAATTAGGTGGTTTACCTGCCATTCCTTCCAATTTTCCAGTTAGAACGAAAGACTTTGTTGGGTGTATCAGTGATCTTTACATCGATCACGTATTTGTCGATCTTAACTCTTTCGTCGCAGACAACGGTACTAACGCTGGTTGTCCAGAAAAGAATGCATTTTGCTCATCTCTTCCTTGCAAAAACAACGGCGAGTGTCGCGAAGTCTGGGACGGTTTTATTTGCGAGTGTATAGAAAATTTCGCTGGCCCAACATGCGAAGAAGAAGTTGGGAAACCATGGAAATTTCACGGCGATGGTTTGTTGAATTTCAATCCACTTCTCAGACCGATTCAACTACCGTGGCTGACGGCACTCAGTTTAAGGACAAGAGCGAAACATGCGTTCGTTATGGCAGTACAAATTGGACAAAATAGTTCGGTTCTGTTGGAGATTCGCGATGGTAAACTGGTTGCTTCGTTGGATGGCACAGACATCATTAGAACTTGGAATAATATTGCTGATGGCGAATGGCACAGGCTCGAAATACTTTGGCAGAGTGGTCACGTTTCTCTCGACATGGATTATCGCGATAAACCTTTGACTTCAGTCTTACCCGCGAAATTGCAAGGACTCTACGTGGGCAGAATTTTAGTTGGTGGTCCAGATCAATCAATAAATACTGATTTACCATTCTACGATGGTTGTCTACAAGATCTTAGAATCGGTACAAACCAAAGTGTATTGCAACGACCGACCGTTCAAGAGAACGTCGAAACTGGCTGCATATCCGAAGCAGTCTGCAGCATAGACTGTCCCGAAGCATCGATTTGTATGACGAAATGGCAAGCAAGTGAATGCGTTTGCGCAGCTGGTAGAGTTGGACGCAATTGCGAACTTGTTTGCGATTTAAATCCTTGTAACAATACTGGTACTTGCATCGAGGATAAAGAATTTCACAAAGGATACAAGTACGTTAATTTTCATTGAATTTTCACATAGTTTTAAACACATATATATTTTTAATTAATACTTTATTTAATTATATTTAATTTTATATAGGTGCGATTGTAATTCGCCGGAATACTCTGGAGATTATTGCGAGATAAAAGCTGATCAACCTTGTCCAGCAACATGGTGGGGATCGCCAGTTTGTGGACCATGTCATTGTGACGAGTCTAAAGGCTACGATCCAGCTTGTAATAAAACAACTGGCGAATGTTATTGTAAAGAGAATCATTATCAACCACCGGGTCAAAAGGAATGCATTCCCTGTGGATGTTACGCGATTGGAAGTTTCGGGCCACGTTGCGATACAGAAACTGGCCAGTGTCGTTGTCGTGTTGGTGTTATCGGTCGATCTTGTACAGCTTGTCCAAATCCATATGCAGAAGTAACTTTACAAGGCTGCGAGGTGATCTATGATGGTTGTCCAAGGTCTTATGCAGAAGGTTTATGGTGGCCTAGGACTAAATTTGGAATGACAGCTATCGAGGATTGTCCCGATACAGCGGAAGGAAAAACCTCGAGATCTTGCGATGATAAACTTGGGGGATGGCAACCACCCGATCTTTTCAATTGCACATCAAAAGCTTTCGTTGAACAGAGACATCAATTAGCTGCTTTAGAGGCTGAAGATCTTATGTTGAATACGTATGTAGCTGTGAAATTAGCCAAGGACGTACATGATGCTGCCAACATGACGAAAAACATGTACGGTGCCGATTTACTCGTTGCTGAATCTCTACTAATCGCATTGCTTCGTTACGAGGAGAGTCTCATTGGTCTTAATTTAACTCACAGTCAAGACAAAGATTACGTGGCTAATCTCGCTGGTATAGCTAGTGCAATTTTACAGAAGAAATATATCGAAAATTGGATGAGAATCGAATCCCTCAACGGCGACAATCCCGACAAGATTCTAAACGCAATGGCCAAATACTTGAACACTTTGACTTCGTCTCAGCATGATACTTTTACCAGTCCCTTCGAAGTGGTTGATCGTAATATAGTTCTTGGATTGGATATAGTAACTTCCGAAAGTCTTTTCGGTTTCGAAGCATCAGAATACAAAGAGGATCCTTCGATGTCCACTGCAAGACCATCAGAAGCTGATCGAAAAGTTGTTTTACCCGATACTTCAACCTTTCTAAGTTCAATTACACACTTCGGGCCATCGATAAGTTTTCCAAAGTACAACAATTACATGGCAGATCCAAAGAGATTCGACACCCATTCCAAAATACAAGTACCTTTGAATATACTGGGTATTAAACCATTGGTTCAGGGAGAATTGAATGTGAAAAATAGTTTAAACAATCAAAAAGCTGTATTGAGTTACGTGCAATATAAAGAATTAGGCTCCCTTCTACCTCAACGATTCGATGATTCGGTGGCTGTTAGATGGGGTGTTGAAGTATCGGTAGGATCACCTGTGATGACTGTATCTGTGTTAGTACCGTCCAAAAATGGTTACGAATCGATGACTGGAATTCCATTGCAATCGCCAGTTCAAGTAAGACTGTGGCTTAGCGAAAACGATGATTTTAAGACGAGAACCAATCCACAGTGTGTTCATTGGAGTACTGCAAGAGGGTAAGTAAAGTCAATAGTGTTTGATTCGTTTGAATATGAGAAGGTATTTCATTTTATATTCATTCTGTACAACACACAGAACCGGAGAATGGAGTCGAATGGGATGTACAACGGAAGTGGAGGACAATAGCTTATCCTATGGTTCGATCGTCAATTGTTCTTGCCTACAGTTGTCGACTTTCGCTGTGTTAACGGATGTACTCGATCTCGAATACGTGCCTGAACCGTCCCTGTTAGAGGATGTTACAAGTTACAGTGCTTTCATGCTCGCCCTACCACTTTTACTTTCAGCTCTGCTCATTTTAGCTTTGATACGTGGCACAGGAACAAATTCAAACAGCATACACAAAAATCTCGTCCTCTGCGTGTTCCTCGGCGAAACGTTGTACCTGATTGCTTTGAAAGCAAGAAGTCCATTGGTCACCAATGAATTTCCATGTAAATTAACAGCTATTGGTTTGCATTACGCTTGGCTAAGTACTTTTGCTTGGACTTTGGTCGATTCTATTCATCTTTATCGAATGCTCACTGAAATGAGGGACGTCAATCATGGACAGATGAGATTTTATTATACAATGGGTTATGGCATGCCTGCAGTTATCGTTGGTTTGACTATCGGTGTCAGGGCGGATCAATACGGAAATTTCTACTTGTAAGAATTGATGCTTGAATTATTTATATATATATATATATATACAATTATTAATTAATCACATTCGCAGAAATATTATTTATTATATTAATTTACAGTTGTTGGCTGTCGATATACGAAACAGTAATTTGGTCTTTGATAGGACCAGTTTGCGTAGCAGTGTTCGTTAACTTTTGTATTCTTGTAATGTCCATAAGAGCAGCGTTTACATTGAAAGAACACATTATGGGTTTTGGTAACTTGAGAACGTTACTTTGGTTATCCGTTGCATCATTGCCCTTGCTTGGTTCCATTTGGACTTTGGCAGTGTTGAACGCTTCCGAAACGTCACCGACTTTATCGTATTTGCTCAGTGTTGCAATTGTCGTTCACGCTGCGTTCAGTTTAATTGGATATTGTTTCATCAATGGAAGAGTTAGAAGGAACCTGTACCTGAGTCTTTTGAGATGTATTGGGAAAAAGGCACCTTTATTGGAAGGCAGCATGGGCAATGGAAGCAGCAGTCAAAATGTTAATGGTCATTCGGTGAGTTTCTTACGCTAATTAACATCTTAATCACATCAATATTTAAATTACTAACATATGTATTGAACGAGAATCGTTTGATAATTCGCAGAGATCGGCATTAGCTTACTCGTCGACGTATAGTGGGGCCGAATCAGTTTGTAGAAGAGTTCACGTTGGCGTATCGACAAGTAGTACGACTTCTCGAAGTACAAATAAAACTGGTTCTAGTCCTTACCGCAGTGATACACATTTGAGACACACGTCAACATCAACCAGCAATTACAATAGCGATCGAGACCCTTACATGTCGTCCAGGAGTCAACGATCGGTTGTACATCCTCGGCAAGGTATGTAAATTGTCTTTTACATATCTTACTTTGTTAAACGATCATTATTCAATTATATAAATTAATTATATAGAGTCGAGTGAATCGAGAAATCCACGGAGAGATTCTGAATCCGATTCCGACGGTTCTCAAGCCGAAGGCGGTGGTAGAAGTTTAGATCTTGCTAGTTCGCACAGTTCTGATGAAGACGACGTTACTTCGAGATCTCACAGGAACATGGGTGTTTCGGCTCAACAACCAGTAGCTCACAGCTATCTTCCAAACATACACAGTAATCCTGCCGAACACTTGAACATACTTTGTTCTAATGCTGAATTATTCCCTAATATAAAACCGATTTATGCACCGAGATGGAGTTCCCAACTACCGGAAGCCTATCTTTCATCCAATGGTACAAAATTTATTCCAATATAAATTTTCGGTAATATAATAATATAAAATAATAATTGAACGCGATCTTTAACTCGTTTTTGTCAGTGATGGACGTGCGAGGGAGTCAATGGTCAGGTGGTACAATGTCAGATAACGAGATGGCCTCCAACAAAACGTCCAGTCCAAATCCTTTACCATATCCTGAGATGAGTTCACCGCAAAAGAGTCAATTAGACGAAAATTATTCTGAAGGGGAAGAAAAGATACATCACGTTGGTGAAAAGTATCTTTTCCCGTATACTGCCGAAGAGGATCATACGATATCACCAACACCGTACATGTTATCGATGTCTTCACGAATTCTCGCTTCGAGCATGAGCCATCATTCTCAGAATTCTAATCACGAGAACATGAGTGGTTCGGAGAGGTACGGTAGCTTGAAGAGAGGTCAAAGTTTGCATGGATCTCAACACGACAATATGAGTGGTTCCGAAAGGTACGGAAGTTTGAAAAGAGGCAAGATCACTCCAACTGTATTGGAGGATGCACCAGAATTTATTCTACCGATGAGTGGTAGGATATTGTCCAGCTCGTTGACGCACGATCTTCAACATAGCAACGAATTGGCGGCTCTGAGACAGCAGCAGCAACAACAGCAATACGAGCAGACGATCACTGAGACTGAGTGAGTACAAATTAATTCGATTAGATAGTAAAAAATATAATATTGTTCTAAGTGATGTTCAATCCTGATGCAATTCTAACATGGAAAGATTCAGAAGTAGAAATAATCCAAAATTTTACATACTTCTGATCCAAAGTATTCCTTGGTTTAACCAATAATATCATTTTCATCGTTCTCTAATTTTCCCATTAATATTTTTCATTGCAAAAGATGGTGCTGGGACGTTTTAATCTAATCTTCTATTTTTCTTCTATTATTCATGCTTGCCCTGGCAAATGAAACGATCAGCGAGGAGGTAAGCATGCATTCCCCCACGATATTCCTACTCACGTTGGAATCCACTCAAAGATCCTAACTGAATATAAATTTGTTATAGTTTGTATTAAAATAGAATGACTTAATTTAGTAACTATTTTGTTGTGTTACAGGAAGGATACTAACGCGGAAACGTCTGTATGATCGCCATCGCGACGTTCTGTCGCGTATACAAAAAAATATCGTACAAATTAAAAAAAGAATTAGAGATTAGAATTCGAAATGGCTTCGATCGATCATTTCCATCGCTCGAATAATGAAATTATGACAAAATCATTGGAAGGAGGAGGAGGAGAAGGAGGAGGAGAAGGATAAATAAATTCGAACGATTGAAATAAAAATCGTAAGCCATCGGATGTAGATCGATAAGTTTTAAGAAAGAAGAGGCCATGACTGTACTTATAAACTTAGCCATATTTTAATTAGCACGTATGTGTGAGTGCCTGTTGATACGCTTGTTATATTTCAATTCGAGTGGATTTAGAGCTCCAACTTTGCGAGTACGTGGCATCCAGCGTCCGTTTTAATACAAATTTATATTAAATTACATTTAAAAAAAAGATTAACAAAATCAAAGGATAATTGAGAAATGGTCGGACGCTCGATGAGAAACTGATCTCTAGCTCATTTTATCATTAGTGTACTTAGCATCATACTGCCCCCCCCCCCGTCGTAATTTAATTTCTTCATTGAATATTCGTGCAATGTATACATTTTACTTCCTCTTTCTCTTTCTCTTTCTCTCTCTCTCTTTTCTATTTCAATCTCTACCATTTAGATTCTATTATATATACGTTGTAGGCATTTACAATCTTCTTTTCTAACATGCCATGAGAGATAACGTAAGTCGAATCGCATCGCATCGCATTGCATCGCATCGTACAAAACTGCGCCGCGTTTTTCGTACTTTTGTATATATTTATATGGAAAGAAAAAAAGAAAAAAAAACGAAAAAGAAGAAACAGTATGTGCAAAAGAAAATATAATTTATATACCCTCGTCTACGACGAATGATAATCCTTTTGCCTTCTGACTTCTTAATGGCGATTATTATCTCTCTCGATAATAAAAAAAAAAAAAAGAAAAAAAAAATGATTAAAAAATTCGCGACATAAAAGCTCGAATATTTATATACTAGTCGATGATCGTTATTGATAAAAATGACTTTTTATTCCTTATTGAAAATATAAATAAATTACAAAATATAGCTAGGTTAATACTCGGAAGAACGTTGTCTTTAAAATAAAGTCCAATGCACCGTTTGTTCCAGTGTTTTAGTTCATTATCGATCTTGGCTCGGTGTTACTATTGTTTCTTTTATATTTTATTTTATAATTTTCTTTTTCTTTTTATTATTTTTGCATGGCACACAGATTATCATCATCAAGTAAAGATAATCATAGATAAATAATAGCCTTAATCGATATTTACCGCACTAGAACACGGTGCATTTGCTAAGGTACGTTTTTATACGCAGGTGGGTATAATCCATTTCGTATGTTGTTACGCCATAGAAGATTTCATTTAGATTACATTAGACAATAGACTCATCCTTAAATACTATCTGCATATGTATATTTCCAATGTTGTGCAAATGATTTGTCAAACAAATCCTTCGATCTTTCTTTCTTTCCTTTTTTTTTTTATTTTTCAATATTTTTTTCTCCCCATTTTCCTTGCATTTTTTTTTTTTCGTAATCATCATGTCATTTCCATCGTCATTACCAATCATGGAATCGTCGGAATCATTTTTTTTTTTTTGTAATTATACTTAATCTTAACAACGAACTATTCAAGATATCGGATTTGCCGGACTATGGCACTTACACATTATTATTATTATTATTATTATTATTATTATTATTATTATTATTATTATTATTATTATTATTATTATTATTATTATTATTATTATTAATATTAATATTAATATTATTATATAATGATATTATGACTAATCGCTAAAGACTAGGAGATTTTTCATTGCTACACAGTACTCTCTGTGTCCGATGCCACGGACAGGGTCTGCATTTTTGGTACGGAGTAATTCTCCGTGTGTCCATGGTAACCACCTGATCGGTTCGACATCCTTTCCAAAGTTGATGGCGCGGATGGGATGTCTTGATGAGCTTTGGGAGGAATCGGTGGAGGACTTACCTATAATTTACATTTAAAATATTAATCTGATCTCAATCATATACTAAATTTTGAATTTTGAATTTTACCTCCTGAACAGAAAGTGAATTTGAATTCTGGAATGTACCACTAGGGAAACTACAAGTAGAAATATTGAGAGAATTGATCATAGACGGTGGCGAAATGTTCATTATATCGTTACACCTTGTGCGTGGTTCAGAATCCTCGTAACTGAGATTATTTAGATTAGTTAAGTGAGACTGGAAGTCTAATAAACTAGTCGTTGAGATTCCGCTGTCTCGAAGATCGTTCGGTTCATTTTGTGTTTCTGAATCATCATCAGTACTCCATTCCGTATTACGTTTGTATGCCAATCGTTTTGGTGGTGCAGGAGGTATGACAGTGTTGGTATTGTTGTCTCTTTTATCAGGAGCTGAAATATTAACTAGAATTTATTATTTTATTCAACAGGAGAGTTTTCTTTTCTTCTTCTTCTTTTTCGAGGAAGGGAACTTACTGCAACCTCTGGGTGGCAACGGTGGTGCTGATTCTGGGCCAGGTTCACTCCAAGAACTTCTCAAACCGCTTTGATCTACCCCGTCAGTTGGAGTTGGCAAAGAATGCCTTAATGGTAATTTCGGGCTTAACGGTTTACTTAGAGTTCTTTGATGAGTTGGTCTAGGTGGGGTTGTCCCATAACCCACAGATCTTGGTCTTACTTCTCTTTGTGGAATAGGTGGTGGTGCACCATCGACTCTAGAATAAAATCTTTCGTCTTCCGGTAGACCATCGCTCTCAGCATGAGACATTCTCGAACCTACGTTTTCCAAAGTTGCTGGCCGTTGTTTCTCGCTGATAGGTAAGGGTGGCAATGGTGAACTGAAAATTTAACAATCTAATATGTAACAGATAGAAAATAAAAGAAAATAAATCGTCGATGAATAAGAAAGAGGATTTATATCAGTGAAATATCTTCTTTATGGATATGGAACTTCGTGTATTTTATTTACAAAAAGTTAATGAGAGAGAGATATGTAACGTTCGATTACTTGACTATGCTATCCTGATGAATCGTTCGTTGTCTGGCAAGTGGACCGAGACCTTGCTTCAATTGAGTAAATCTTTCGAACAGTCTTTTGTGCAATGGTTGAACACCGGGCGGTGCTAATTGACCGTGCAAAACCATTCCAGATTCTAGGACACTTATTTGATCGAGTATTAAATTTTTCAGTCGATTCACGTGCGGCACCATATCCGGATTTTGCCGAGCGAATTCAGGAGTCAAGAATGCTTCCTGATATTTCATTATTCCACCCATAACGGTGGCATCGAGTATGCCTTGTAGCCTCATACTGAAGGGACTGATGTTTCTGTGTGGTTCAGCTGTGTATTGAGCTATATGTCTTCTCAATTCCCTTTCAACGGATTGCATCGTATCGCAGGCGAACTGAACCGGCGCCAATATCTCCGATCTTTTTTCAATCACTTCGAACCATCTCAAAATACCTGGCAACTTTGCCTCGGTAATCAAAGTCGTTCTCTCGATCCACATAGATTTAAATTCATTTTCACGATCAACGGGACCTCGATGAATTGGCCGATCAAATGTAAATCTTCTTACGTCATTCACCATATAAAATGCTACCACGCGTTCTGGAATTTCTGCTCCGCTGCATGCCAAACTGCCTTCTTCTGGTATCGGTTTGACATTACATATCTGTATGTCTAAAAATAAAATCGATTAGTTTTCAATTCTATTGAATATTTAAATTATCGTTGTGCAAATGTATGAAGAAAATTTGATAATTCGTACATTGGCCCTCGGACGATAGAATGCATTCATCGGGTGGCGAATTATTCGTTAATATTTGTGCGCTTGGGAATTCAGTTTGCAGTCTTTGAGTGAACGTCACTATTCTCTCGTATTCCAAGCCACGATAAATGAACAGCTTGTTCTGATAAATGGAATACAAATATTACATTTTTCATTCCCTCTCACGTTATATTTATTTCTAATTGAATTTGTTGAAATACTTACTCTAACGAATAGTGGAAAACTTAAACCGTAGAAGCCAACTCTGAAGTATTCTGGTTCAGGCCTGAGTTGAGTCAAAATATTATCCAAGAATTTAGCTTGTAGTTTCAACACGTGACTTAGTTTCGCATAATCGTACAATCTCGTTTCGTATAAGATAGCCAATTCCTTGCAAAGAGGTATACCCTTTTCCCAACATTTACCACGATCCAAGTAATGAATGATTTTGTAATAAAGAATTTCTTTTCTTTGCCATTCAGGTTGTTGAGGATGTTCGTGATCGGATGGTAAAACGTTGGAACCCCATCCTAATTGATCGGCATACAATTTCATCGTGAATCCAGCTTCCGTGTAATTCTCAGCAGCGAGATGTAGATCGTGTAATTTGTAAATGTAACGTAGATACATCTCCTTACGGTTGAATTCATTTTTGTAAAAGTTCTGCAAGAAGAACGATAATATACCCATCACGTATATTATTTTAAAACATGACCAGAACGTTCGAAAGCCGTAGAAATACTGCTCTTTGAACGGAACAGATAATTTTTCCGTTCAAATGCGATAGATAAGTGCTAAATATTCATTTCAATCTGGCTGGCCATGTGCAAGCTTCGTTAACTAACAGCACGTGGCAGTTTTTACAGTGATATCTGTGTTAACGGTATCTAATACGATTAACACTTTAAATATCATCATAGTAATTTTTCATTGCTCGCAAACATTGCATATTTATATCGCATGTATCGTCGAAATAAACTCACCAATAAATTCACCGTACACGACATACGTTTGTCACGATTTTCATCGCCTTGAATAACGCTACGATAATCTAAAAGTCTTTCTAATAAACGAGTAATCGACGTGATGAATGCAGTACCACTATCCTTCCAAGTTGGATCCTCCGACTGAACTCTGTCCAACAATCTGCAAGGATAATTAAGAGGATAAAATAATCATGTTAAATAAAATAAAAATGAAGGTTGGAGGCGTTAGGAGGAGGGGACCACTTACACAGCGCTAAGGTGTTCCCTAAAGCAGCATGAAAGTATAATTGCAAACGCGTGATTATCAAGCACACCAAGCAACGAATGAATAGATTTTTCATTTAAAAATGAAATAAGAGAAAATAAAATAAATATATATATATTTGTGAAACTTACATGGTATTGAACAATTGTCTGTATTCGTCGTCACCTTTGTTCTCGCTGATAAGTATATCCAATTTATCTATAAGTTCTGACTCGACAGATTTAAAGCTACCACGTACACGTTGTTCACACTCCATCATGTCAAAAAAGATATGTAAAGTTGCCTTTCTCAGTTCACTTTCTGGAACGAGAGTGACCTCGAGGAATGGTCCAACCATTCCTGGAATAAATTCGAGTTTACGATCACCCAAATTCGACCACATTGATAATATTTGAAAGCCCATAAGAACTCTCATGTCGCCGTATTTCTCAACGATCTTTTCCCGTTTAACTTCGGAAAATTGTTCCAATTGTAGCGACGGTTGCGTTAGATAAGCCACCGCCAAATTGAAATACGTCGACCAAAGTTGCGAATCGAAACTGTTGTGAAGAAAACGAAAGGCTAGTGGTTGGGCAAGCTCTTGCAAAGATTTCAATATGACGTTGTTTGCTTGCATCCTGATGACCAACCAATCAGGTGGAAATACTTCTTGCTTAACTAGATCGCGTAAAACTAAGAAGACTCTCACGAGAAAATCTTTCAATGGTTTTCGTTCTGAACCACGAGACAGTTCCTCCCACAAACGTGAATAATGATACTCGTCCAGAAGTTGAAGTAATCCTATCAAACAGGCAACTAAACAACCAAGTACTGGACCATTTGCATTGATAACTATGAGTATAGTTTGTACCAATACGTCTAAAATCGATAGACACAGAGTTTCCACGTCGTGATGAATGCAATTGTTAACCTTGTTCGCGTCTCTGCCTCTTTTGTGAAGAAAACTGAATATTTCCCCTAAAATATCCGTGCAAGTACGAAGTTCTTCTCGTCTGGCCAAGTGAATTCTGAGATGTCTACATATAATTACCAACAAAAGATTTCTACTCTCGTCGTCTTCGCGAAACAATCTGGACGTTGATAGGTTCTTGATGGCGAGTAATTTAGCCTGTGTCAATTGTAACTGTGGTTCACGTGGTACAGAATCCAACATGGTACACGTTAATTTAGCAACTTCGAGAACAGGTAATACGGCTACCAGTTGTTCGAATACAGCTGCGATCGAAAGTAATAAAGCTATTTGCGATGGTAAAACCATGTCGTAGGATATACCCAACATTTTGCTCAATGCAGAAAAAACGCATGATAGATCTCTCTTAAAACTGTCCTCCAATTCGCCAGCCGTGGCACGTGCAAACAGCAATCGACTTTGTATGATAAATTTAAAAATATATTCGAGAGATCTGAAACATTTCATTATCGGTTCCTGTTTCTCGGTTGCTGTCACCCAATCAGCACAGTGTTGTACGCTACTTAGAAGACCTTTGTAAACCAAAGCTGCGGCAAAGTGTCCAGAAATATAAGCGTCCATAACTGGTTTGAAATGTTCGAACTTGGAATCCTCGAGTAGACTGAAGATCGATACCAATACTTGAAAGACCAATCCTGAGTGTGCAGTTGAATTACCATTCTCGGTATGAAACATCGCAAACAGTGCGTCCAATATATCTTGAAGAAACTTTACTAATTCCTCGCCATCCAATCTAAGAACTCGTCCTAATGCTTCGGAAATATGCTCAGGATGAGCTTTCCATTGAAGGAGACTCAACAAATCTACATTCTGAGTAAGTTTCGTACTGCATAGAAGAGTATGAATGAATACTGCTTCTTTCGGTGATCTTGCGAAGGATGTAGCACCTGAAAAATGCAAGACATTTTAATATACAGGAGACTTTTCGCCGTTTCTCAAGGAGATACGTATACAATATTAAATTCACCTGTAGCGCTTGGTTCTCGTGCACAGCTGGGTAAAGATAGGTACCCAAGTGAATCTAATTTCGCTCGTTCTTCGCACTTGTAGATGTACAACTCGTGAGTGCCATCTTGAAGCGTAGCACCGCCAGATTCCATTAAACGTACAAAAGCGAAAGCAAAGAGTTTCTTATCGTTTTTCTCTCGAGCTGAAACAACAAAGTTAAAGTTCATCACGAATTTAGTACTTGGATAAAAGATTAAGGATCTCCAAAGTGTTGTCTAAACTATTACCAACTTTTCTTTCAATATGTTTTACTATAAAAAGAAAGAAAAAGACACAAAAAATACTTACTCGAACAATGACGAAATTCAAAGCGCACGTGACTCCCATAAAACTTGTCAATGGGTATGGCTAATCTCACAGTTTCTGCCCAGGATGGGCTGTTGTGATGATAAATAACTAAACTTTGATATTCGGAACTACCCTCCGTTCCAGCTGCACCAAACAAACATCCCTCTAATGGTTGGCCTTCGGCATCCAAGACTAGTATAGTTACCTAAAGAGATCAAAATTCGAAAATCAATTGGAAGATGAGGAATACATAAAATAATAAACGCGGTCACAATTTCTTACCTCGATATTTTTCCCAGTTGATTTTCCACCGCGTTCGAATTCACCGCGTTCGAGTTTCAAATATAAATCGTTTCTAACGTCTCCTGGCATTATAACGTCGGAGAAACCAAGCTTCTTCGTAAGACAAATGTTCTTGAACAATAATGGATTTTCTTCTCGCACCTGAGACAATTCACCGTGCAATACACGAAGGGATACTATTATTCCGTAATTTGGTTGGCCAGGAAGCGGAGTACATTTATTGTTACGAATAATTTGTTCGTGCAATTGATGAAATTCTTTCTCTTCGCCTTGGTATACCTAAATTATAATAATAATAAGTATAGAAAACTTGTGTGATCGATTGCTTTCAACCATTTTATCCATTGTTGATTCGTGAAAGAATTAACAACGAGCGCTATGGGGCTATGGTTTTACCTTAAAGGGTAATTCTAGTTCCTCCGTATGAGGGGTGGCATCGGCTAAGGAAAGTACCGCGACCCCATGGGGTCTCCTGTAAACGGCACTTCCCGTCTTGTTTTTACCCGAGTCAGAATACAACATTCTACCGCATCGCATGACGTGTGCGATCACATAAAGATCACGACTCAAATCGGCGTTACCAAGATCCGTGAATATCGTACAATTGTTGTGCAATTTTTCAACGTAATTCGAGAAACCTTCCTTCGATATTCTTACCAAGAAACGTTCGCTCAAGTATTGTCCCCTTTTGGCATCGTATAGGGAAAAATAAATCTCGGTGTCCTCGCCTACCGAGTGACCAAAATCTCGCATGCAGAAATAGAGATGATGGGTCAATACTTTTTTGTGTTCTTTGCGTTTCAATGTACCCCTCGTTGATGCACCTTGTGAATTTTCCGCACTCTGTAAGTGCTGCGAACAAAAATATATTACGATTTTGTAATCTGAAAAAACGACAAACTATTTTGTTGCTTAAATTGTCATCGAGTAACTCGAATTAAAAAATAATTACCACATGGTAGAGATCAACAACAGACATGGTATCTGGGTCCACCATGTGTGCACCTTGACGTGGTACCAAATCCAATCCAAGTTTTCTGGAAACGTACGAAAAACAATCCAATCCGATCAGAAATTTTCATAAATGTTATCATCGTGAATCGATTTTAAAGATTAATCACAAATAAATAAAATATATATATATATATTTATCCAGGTGTGTTATATTGGACTATAAAAAGTATATCATTCAAATTATATAGAATAAATGCACAAGATTGTACGTCACATAAGTTGCATTATATTTCGGATGTTATATACTTTTGAAAGAATCAAAAACGCCAATTTACTTTCTTTTGACCTGGGTCGAGCGCATGCCATAAGGACTTACGTGTTCGAGAACACTATGGACCCTTCAGACCCGTCTCAGTAGAGTGTCCTTTTCACGTGGCATTTTTGTAATGCAAACAAGTATGCACTTTAAATGCTTGCCATTCTAGTCACATATTTTACTCGTCTGTTAGACTGAACGCAAACATTCCTGAAGTTTTGTCAACGTCTACCATTCCGATTCGATTGAAAATTGTATAAAAGATCTATTGGGTTACAAAGCAAGGTGTCCCTTCTTATGAATTGAATACAAAATGCATTTTTATAATCAAAATTATTATCGGAATTCTTGCAAACTGTTTGTGTCTTTGATTTATAAAAATAAATTAGAAATACGAGAAGAGATTGTGCGAGAGATCATAAAATTAATATTCATGTATGCATATACAAGCATACGTTTATATATATACATATATTGTATAATATCTATATTATACTTCGTTCAATATGGGTGTTAACGTAATAATGTAGAAAGATTGGATTAAAGGTATCTACGCAGTAAGTAATACGACCCTGAGGGTCCCGAAAGATTCCCCTCCAGGGCAAGCTTGATGGAATGCAGGTGAGCAAGCAGACTTCGATGCATGGAGACAGGTTCAGGGAACGTGTACAACGTTGTTGGGACCTATGGCCCGTTCCAAAGATATTGGATATATTCAAGAAAGGAGAGGACCCACACAACATGTACCTGCTTGCAAAATTACTTTCAACACTTACTATAACATTTTCTCTTTCATTTTATCATAATATTTATATAATATATGATCGGAATACTTTTACTTTCAAATTAAAGTATATACCTATAATTTATTTAATTTTTCAATATTATAATTAAAGCTGGTAGTATATCATAAATTTTAACTCGTTAGGAGTATTAGGTTTAACAGAAGGATTCCTGGAATCAACCAGAGTTCCATGTCCGACCGATGGCATAGGAAATTGTCTGGTGATTCAATTTCCTTTTCTATTTCCGAATCGATTTGCAATGGTAGTATGATTTCAAATATTTTCATCTACGATATAGATAAAGTCATACATATATATATATATATATATACGTTTAACTACTGATATGTACCTGTTGGAAAAATATTATAGATTCGTAGGAAAAAATAAAAAAGGTATATGTGCACGTTGCACCATGATCACGATAAACAAGTATGGAAAATAATGTTACCAGTATACAATAATAATACCTAGGATAGATACATTAATGTTATACTATGTACTCGTCCGACTGCATCCATAACCATTGCAATCACATGCTCATGTTAGAGTAAAAGGTAGTGGTAATAGATGTCAGGGCCAAATCTCAGAGCCCCCCCACGATCTCAATTAGACCAAATCGCGAACGATTAAGCGCGATTACTCTCGCGAACCTTTCAATTCTTTTTCTTCCATTTGCAGTCTGTAAACGCCACCAGTAATTCCTCCTCCCTGCTGCTATTATTAACATTCTATTCTCTTACATAAAGTATATACCTTTCTCGATAATATTTCATACAAAATATCTCTATGGGAAAGTGATTTTTTTAAGTCATGAAAGATCATTCGTAATATAAACCACCAGTTTTTATAGTTTTATTAATCATTAATCCATTGAATTTCATTTGGTTTACGTGAATTATTGATCTGTTGTATTTGATATTTTAGGTCACCCTATATATATATGCGTCATCATTATATTCCTCGAAGAATTGCTTTCAAGAAGACGTTTCGAAATCTATCGAAGAAGTCTTCGAACCACAACTCAACCCGGATCATTCCTTTTAGGGAGTCAAGTTTGCGAAGGCGGTACTAGATACAACGCAACAAATCCACATCGTCGTAAGCAAAATGTATAAATATACAAAAAAATAATAAGTTGAAGAAAGAGAGAGAGAGCTTGTAAAACGTCGTGGATAAATAAATGATAGACCATTTCGTTTTAGGTTGAATAGGAGGAAGAGGAAGAGGAGGAGGAGGAACACGTCACGAATGAAATGTTCTTGCGGCCTTTCTTCCACACTTTTATGACGAGCTCGGACTTGTTACGGCCCTGGAGGGGGTTTTCTCCGTTGCGCTGCTATACACTGTGCTACTACTACTACTACTACTACTACTACTACTACTACTACTACTACATACACACTCTCGCGCAAAAAAGAAAGGAAAAAGTTGTGGGTGAACGGTGGATCTCTCTCTCTCTTCGACATGGTGTTACGCAGACGAGGAGAATATCCTGCGTAGTACAGCGTTACTTCGACGAAGAAACTAAAGGAAGAGAAAGGGCACTGCACGCGAGGTGGAGCCGCAGGTCACGCTAATTATAAATAATAATAATTAAATCGATTGAGATAATAAATGTTGGCCGTTGTGTATTCGAGGTCGGTATCGTGTAACGAGGAAGCAAGATAAATTAGAAGAAATAAAGAAAAGAAAAGAAAAAGAAACACATGCATGATAATGAAACTAAGTATATCGATGTAATACTCAAAAAATGTAACCCCGAACGGAAACCGCAAGTCTCAGAATCATTTATTCTCTATATTACAACTTTGTGAATATATTAATTCAAATTAATGTATATAAAACGTGTTTAAGAGTTTGTTCTATAATGGCGTGACGTGTTGTGTTAGACTCGTCGTCAGGACCATTAGAAAAATCTTACGATTCCTTATCTCACGTTTAATAGATAAACGTAAGAAGAATAATGGAGAATAAGAGTCAAATAATATCGGAACGCAGCCTTTAAAGAGTCAAAGCGAGCCCTCTTACGGGGGAACAGGTTCTCGGCATGGATACCACCGTGTATTCACCGAGCTGAAAACCTTGGCCAACGAGCAAACGAACCGTAGAAAGAGAGAGAACGAGCTGCTGCCGTGTGCCCATCTCTTTTTCTTTTCCTATATATATTGCTAGGATGTCTGCCATGGCTGCGGTCTTTCCGCATGGTCATACGATACAACACAAGTCAACACGAGACTCCTAAAGCAAACTCATACAAAAGCAGCTTCTTTCAATCGAAAATTCGTGGTAATATGAGAGAGAGAACTATTTTTGTTAACTTCATCGTTACACATTCCACGCATAATTTAATGTTTTTTTCCTTTTTTTTTTCTTTCTTTCTTTATTCTTTACAAGAACAATCTGATAATCTTTAAATTTGATTGCATCAGTATAAGAAATGTTTAACGATTGTAACAACGTTTGTTATTTTTTTGTATTGTACACAATAAAAAAGATTTGTTAAATATATTCGAGCACATTAGAAGAGATGCACCATAATATTTCTCTATATTGTAATATTATAATCACATTTTATATATATGTGTAATACTATTTAGAATAATTATGTGGACATGACAAAACAAATAGATAGATAGATAGATAGATAGATAGAGGGAGAGAAAGTAGAGGGGCTAATGCACGCACCTGGGATTGGGGATTAATGTTCGTCCCCCGAACGTGTGGGGGCGCGCCGACAAGATGGCGGGTGGTGGGGCCCGAGCAAACCCTTCGACGCGGTCAGTCGCACTTCGGGCCCCGTTCGCGGCAGACGTGTTCTCTCTCATTTATCTTTTTATCACGCCAACTTCTCTAACAATTATCTCATTTCTTTTTTGTTTCATTCGAGGACAACAGACAACATTTCGGTATTATTGTTAATAGAAAAAGAGAAAGAGAGAGAGAGAGATATATATATATATATATATAAAAAAAGAAAACGTGTTAATAATTGATCATAATTTTAATTTAGTTTGATAGTTCTCTTCCTATTCTTTCTCTCTCTCTCTCTTTTTATTCCATTTTGCACGTTGAATATCTTTTTCTCTCTTTGCCATTCATGCGTGTAACTTATTAAAGTACATGATGAAGCTTAACGAGAGATAAGCATTCAATATCGGGAGGTGAATTTTGTATAAAAAAAAAGAAAAAAAGAAAATAAGAGGTGTGAAATATTCGGTGGGTGCACACGTTCGGAACTAAACACACACATTACACACACACACACAAAAATAAGAAAAAATAAAATCTTCTTTTTCACGAACGAAAAGAAGAAAGAAGAGAGATAGAGAGAAGCTGTTATATTCGTCCGGTGAGTTTTACAAGAGATCAGTTAGGTAAAAAGAGACATATAGATAGATAGACAGACAGAAAGAGAAAGAGAAAAGTAGCAGGAAAAGGCCAATAAGAGAACGTCCCTCGACTCTCCTTTCAAAAGGTCGTACGAAGAAAGAAAAGAAAAAAAGAAAGGGAAACGAGAAAAGGGCGAACCTTTTCCTTGGAATTTTTTTCTCGGATAATACCAAGTTCTAACTTGAAAACCGATTAGAAATTAAGGTATTTTTTTCTTGTAACATTTAGTCAGTAAAATTGAACAAATTTGTAATTGTAAAATTGTTAAATTCACTTTCTCTTTTTCTCTTTCGTTTTCTTTGAAATTAGCTAATCGAATTTAGATACGATTGTTAATCTAATCTTCTAGAGTTTTGAGATATCATAATTGAACCCTAACAAAAACTTTCACCTACTCGTTATTATATAAAAACGTTATTGCATTTCGTTTTAGTTTTATCGTAAAAGGAACTAAGTTTTTCACCGAGTTATAAAGATAATCGTTAGTTGCAATCGTTTTATTCGTGGTCCATTCAAGGACATCTAATGATGGTAGAGAGGGAGATAGAAAGAGGGAGAAAGAAGCTAACTCACGATAAGTCTCTAATTGTTTTTAATTTTATCGTTCTTTGGCTGATCGCGGTATTTTATTTTTTTTTGTAGTAAAATACTTTTATGCAATCGTAGAAAAAAGAAATAGAATAATTTTGTATTAAACGAACAACATTGTATTAAACGTTAACAATTCTTTCTATACATATTTCTTTCTTCTCTTGACGTTGATATTATTCACATATAACAGATATGTTAATTTCAAAGTGATTCGTCATATCATTTTTATGATATTATTACATGCTTCTTAAAATGAATTATTAAATTTAATTTTTCATATTGTAATTTTATAAGAAAGATGTTTTATTTTAACGAATTAAAACAAATTAATAGAAATTTTGTTTGTATAGGTTTATGTAAAAGTAAAATAATAATCCATTGAAGTTCGTTTATACAAATGAAAGTAATCTTATCGTTGATTAAGTTTTAACGATCGTTTCATGGATTCTCTACTCGTGCCTTAGGCTAATTCAATCGAATCCAAGAATCGAAGAAGGTAGCATTTTAAAGTGCAGCACTAAATTTTCAAGCTCGTTAAATCGTAATGACGTACTATAGTCGACGTTTAAACGTCTTTATCCACCTTTATCGTTAAACCATAAGATTACTAATTGAAGAAAAAAAATGAATAATTGTTGGGTGAAAAATATTGAAATTATCAAGGAAAAAAAAATATGAATCATCGCATCATGTAATTTAACATTCGAAAATAGTAGTAATAGAAGAAAGTGGTTCTCTAATTGTAAGGTTTTTCAAAAAAGAGAAACCGAAATTTTCCAAACGGGTAGATAAAAGCGTAGATAAAAGAGGACGAAGGGAATTTTACGAAGATCCCCAAGGGTGGTTACACTGCGGAGGAAACTTGTCCTCTCCTTTTATCTTTCCTTATCTCACCAGTTTAGATTCTTTTTTTCCTGATAAACCGTAAAACCTGCGGAGTATGATATTTCCACGTGTCCCATGGGAAAAAGAGAAGAAAGAAATAGTATCCTTTACTTTCTTTACCTTATTTTTGTCGATAAAAATCGATTGACTCTTTTTACCGAAAGAAAAAGAAGAATTTATATAAGATAGAATCATCTAAATGAATGAAATCAAAGAACTTCAATGATTGTCTTACCTTGAAACAAACGAGAGTAATCACGTAATGGAAAAAATAAGATAAAAATCATGAATAAATAATCGTCGTAAAGAGAAATTCTGCGAAACCGGTAATATAACAAAACAAAGAATAATTTATGCGTGGTGGTGTTGCATTAGAGACACGTATAATAGAATTGGAAATTATTATCGAGATGATCTTTGGTATTCAAATAGTATTCTCTCCCTCATAGTAACGATGGACGTTAACATTAACGGTAGTTTCATGCGACACAAGTTCGGAGCTTTGAAACTCGTCATTGAAGTTCTTTGACCTCGCTTGCTTGCTTGCTAGCTTGCCTGCCTGCCTGCCTGCCTGCCTGCTTGCTTGCTTGCTTGCTTGCTTGCTTGCTTGCCTGCAAGCAACCAACGAGAAAGAGAAAAAGAAAAAGAAAGAGAGAGAAAGAGAACTCTTAACCTCGTTCAAGAAGTCATCGTTTTACAAGGAGTCTTACAACGAGAGAAATATATCCTCCTACTTTTCTCAGTCATAATTTCTATCTCATATAGAACCATTAAAGTTTAGTAACGTAAGCGTAATCATATACTGTTTACGTTACGTTTCGCGTTAAAAAACAGATTATGTTCATTTTTATCGACAATTCTGCTATGATAACGATTACAAACGAGTTTTACAACGTTCGTCGTATATATTTACTCGTGTTTACAATTAGACCGTGATTGTATCTTCTTTTTTTTTTGTGTCATTGTTATTATTATTATTACTTTGTTGAAATCTTTTTCAATTGAAATCCGAATCGAATTATTGAAATTCTGATCGTTTGCATTTAAAAACACGATTCTTTGTCATAAAATTATGAGCACGGTTCTGGAAAAGTTTGCCTTAGAGAATGCGAATTAAAGGAGAACAAAGAAACGATGGAGGGGGACATGCTTCGCTGTTAGAATCTCGAGAGTTGATTTTTATTGGCACGATACTCGATATCTCGTGGGGCCCATAGTATGTATTCAGCGTTGAATTACTAAAAGTAGGCGTTGAATGTTCCTATTGTCTCTCTGTGCATTTCACGAATTAACAGTTCTCTTTTGATAAATCAATACCTGGCCGAAAGAGAGGAGGAAAATCAAAAGCATTACGAAGCGTTTGTGGAACGTGAGAAAGTAAACAAATCTAATTCTCTTGCATATTGCACACTTATGCAATTTTATTTAATCAAATAATCGTATATATACTTCACCATTTTCTTCTTTTTTAATTAACTTCGTAAATATAATATTATCAGAGACTGTATGTTGTGAATATTTGTAGAAATCATTATTAATTATAAATAATGATTAGGTTTTTCTTTTTTTTTTTAATAAAAAAGGATAAAGAATAGGGTAAAGAAAAACAGTCGAGCAGATTTCATCTTGGTTGGAAGTAAAAGGAGAGCCAGTTGACCTTAATAGAAGCGACGTGAGTGTTTGATAGGGAACGCTAGCATCTATACAACTCATAGATAGACAAAATGTGCATGGGTGTATGTGTATATATGTATATGTCTTATATAATCGTGGTTATCGCCCGGAGAAGTGATTTTTTTACACCATTAAAACGATACTTGCTTCGTAGGCGTGAACAGCACAACACCCTCGCAGGGATTCCGGAAGTAGATAGAGAATAATAATGTTCGACCACATATTCGCGATGTTGGTTTTCTCAATCATTTTTTATAGTATCTTTTATGTATATAATATATTTAAAATATACATATATGCACGTCTACAAATATCCTATATAATAGAAAGGATACGTTACATTATTATATATCTCGTATAAAGACCGCCGCCATGTTCCCAACAAGATGGCCGATTGGTCGAACATAACCTCTTTCACAAACGATCGACAAATTTGATAATAGAATTATATATTTAATATTTTGATTTTGTCTTCATCTATAGAACATTCCCGTTCAAATCTGTATTAAATGTATGATTTGTTAAATAGGTGCATTATTATAAAAGAAACAAATTGTTTTTATATTAATTACAGATAGTTACGAATTAAAAACGAATCTGTGCGTACACTTTTGGAATAATTTTTAATCGTATATTTGTGAATTTTTTTTAACAAATAAGAATATATTTTTATAAAGAGAAATTAAATAAATAATTGTAACTTATTGTTCTTTTTAAATAGAACGATTAATTAGAAAATTCGATTCTCATTTTTCATAGTAAGACGATAAAAAGAGAAACAAACGCCATGGACTTTTCAATATATCGATAAAAAAAAAAAAAAAAAAAGAAGAAAAATTATTCTTCTCACGCGGTAAAGAAAAGAAAGAAGGAGTGAGAGGGGGATATTCACGGTCACGTATTTTAAAACGTATTGTAAAACACGGTACGCTCGTCACGACTCGCTCGTACTTTTCCCTTCTCTTTCCATTATACCCTTAGTACTTTGTTTTTTCTCTTTTTTTTTTTTCCTTCCTTCCTTTCTTTTCTTTACTTTACTTTACTTTTCAAGTTGCACTCGTTTCGAAGCAAAAGACGACGAGGATGATCATTCGTAGGCGGATGAGAAGAGTAGGAAGAGGAGAACCAAACTCTCAACGTGATTTGCAAAACTTAAAGAGGATACGAATGTAGATTCCATTTTTTTTTTACTTTCCGGAATCTTTATTATTGTCGAGTGGGATTGTCAGCATTTAATTATTTCATTTCATTCCGCGTTTAATTTCGTTTTATTTTCATTTTATTTTCTTCATTTTCTTCTTCTTCTCGTTTTTCTCCACCGTCTCACATTCCCAACTTTATTTCTTCTCAACGTACCAGATAGATAATTGGAGAAAAGTATAATCGTGGCCTGTTTTAATAATAAATATTCGTAATATATCTCTGTTATATAATTGATTATCAGTCAGAAGAAGAAGAAGAAAAAAGAAAAACTGTGAAGACTTTTAAAAGACGATTCTCATTTATATTCATCTCTTTTATCCGTGAACTTTGAACTTTGCATAACTTCGTATTACGTTCTAAGCACATTAATTATATTCTCGTGATTAATCTTGCTTCTGTATCTTCTTTTAATAATATTCAATTTAAATAGATTTTACACGGATTATATAGATTATTATTTATATCACAGAGATATCAAACATTGTTTTCTTTTCTGTTTTTTTTTTGGAGTTTTTTATTACAATTCGTACGTTCCTTTCAAAAATGCGAATAAAAATGATCGCAGAATCGAAAATATATCCGTGTTACGTTAACACTCTTCTTTAT